CAAAGTGAGGTACATGAAGTAATGTTAATAATTTTTTTTGAGGTTTGTTACTTCAAAGCGGACTCCTACTCGTGTTTATTATATTAATTGTTTTTATAGAGCCGATGACATTGCGAGTGACTTTATGTTGTCTGGAATTCAAGGAGTACAGTGCATACATGGGGACAGGTAAGACAGTGGCTACCAGCATAAATATAACTTCTCTTTACTTGTGCTACATGTTTTGTAAACTTTTATGGTAAGAATTTTTCAGTACTACTTTGTCAGCATAAGGAGCCTTTTTGTAACCCTGTCTGAGCCGCTCATTGCATGTAGATCTCAACTTACACGAAGAACCGCGGCCCTTAAATTTTGTGCGTTGATCTATCTTGTAATTGAGAGAACTGAGTTTGCTCATGTGTCAAATGCTTCTTTCCTAAACCTGTTTGTCTATGGTTAGCCTCCAATATACAAGCCTGTGTATAGTGTTCTGTTGTTAGACCACTATCAAGGTAGTCACTTTTACAGTTGTGACAATGTTACAGGGAACAAGTCGATCGCGAGCAAGCACTAGATGATTTTAAGACAGGCGTGGCGAAAATCCTCATCGCAACCGACGTAGCCTCCAGGGGATTGGACATTCGCGGTGTCACGTGAGTTCTATTCAGTTTGACATTAAAGGGTATTGCGAGGAATTGGAAGGGAAAAAATGGGAAGAATGTGGGAGATAAAAGATGTGGGACTGGAAGGGGAAAAGCCCGCCCCTGTCTTGACCTCCCTGCTACTTTCATTCCCTGTTGTACACCCTCAGGGGTAGGGACAGGAGCAAATGAGGGGATTCGAGCCACGAAACATTTGTTGTAGAGAATTAGACACCACAAGCAGAAAATGAACATTGTGTGCAAAGGTGAATTTTGTTGTAGCCGGTTACTTGGATTTTTAGGCGTTTAATTTTGTTTTTGTTGGTAGTTTGTTTCATTTATAGTGCAAAAAAATGATGAGAATTTATCTCAACGGTTGTGCGATTTTTTTTCTAACAGATGTGTGCTAAATTATGACTTCCCACGAAACATTGAGGACTACGTTCATCGTATTGGCCGCACAGGAAGGGCAGGGTGAGTGAAGGTGGATCATGCACAGTCACACCAACAAATATCTTTTTTATTCTCTGATTTTGTTTGAGAATTGAGAGTATCATGGAATTATCTGAGAGGTTTGTTTTGTTAAGTGCTACAAGAAATCGAAATTTTAAAGAATGTATCCTTTAATTCAAAGAGTGTTTAGAAAATTCACGCATGTGATAAAGATTATGAACTTGGGAGGGCGTCATGATGTTAGAATCCAAATTTTCTGAACGAAGTTTTTAGGGAAATGTTCAACAACAAGGGAGAAGAAATAAAATTCAACCCTGATCCTTATAGGCAGCATGTCTCGATCATTCTATTGAAAACTGAAACAAATTTGCATTTAGTCCGCGAATTTTTTGCTTCTTGTAGTAAGAAAGGCACTTCGCTTACTTTTGTGACTCGAGAGGACTGGAGAATGGCTCACAAACTCATCAGTATCATGGTGGAAGCCAATCAGGTAATCGATGTCAATTTTCCTCACAAATGTCAATTCCAATATGTCAAAGTGCACAGGAAACAAAATCCTTTGTTATAAATGCAGTTACGCCATGTTTTGCTGCAGATTTTGGCAGCAGTAAATAAAACAGCAACAACAACAACAAACACAACAACTGTAATAAAATCATAAAATAACCTCCCTCACCAAGACCCCTTCCAAATGTACCACGGAACAACTTTTGTAGACATTTACCAATTTAGTAATTTTAACTTGTTTAATAAACACCAAAACCTGATTTTCCCCTTTCGACCAATCTTACATTGATCACAGGAAGTCCCCGATGAATTAGCGGACATGGCGCAACGCTATGAAGAATTCCGTGAACGCAATGGTTACAACAACGACCGGGGGGAGAGGGGTAGTGGAGGAAGAGGTACACACTTATTAATTCGTGACGAAACTACTCAGTTTTACGTTTGAAGCTCTAGCTAGCGAACACCCAAAACAGATTAAAAAATGCTTCTTGTTGCTAGATTTGTCCGCCGGTTAGAGCCGGTTAGAGCTGATTAACGAACATTAGGGTTTTTTATCGGGATCTTTTCAAGTTGGGTTAAGTTCAGGCCCATGCCTCATAGCCAGATTTTGTCTCTCCAGTTAGGAAAGAAGAGCCACATTCTGCAAAGGTACCAAATTCTTAAGGCTTCTTTTTAATTAGACGCTGTCGTGTGGGTGAATGTGACATGATCGAAACGAGAAGGGATTCAAAAACCAAACAGGGTTGTTTTGTGCCACAAAAAAAAAAATGGTCATTTTTACCTACTATCAACCTCATGGGGGATTGCATTGTATATCAACTTTGGTGTCAAGCAATAACCTGAATCTTCTTCCTCTCTTTCACAGGCGGTGACGGTTGTTACAATTGTGGCGGGAGTGGCCACTTTGCTCGGGAATGTCCCGAGGGAGGGGGTGAGAGACGAGAAAGAGGACGAGGGGGCGGTGGTGGAGGAAGGGGAGGGCGGGGAGGGCGGGGAGGGCGGGGTGGGCGGGGTCGAAGAAGAGGAAACCGCGACGATTATTGGGAGCAGGGATACGGATTTTGGTGAGGGGTGTATGCCTAACGAGACACACCCAAAGTTCCCCTCATGGTGAAATGGAACGAGGTCACCGCACTGGATAAAAGATGACGATTGTAATTTGGAGGTATGCTTCCACCCTCCCCCTTGGTGAAATGGTACGTGGTCAGTGAAATGGCGAAAAGACGTCAATGGTTTGTCACAGTGCAAAAATTATTTTGTGGTGTGCATGCTCAATGAATCTCGAGCCAAAACCTGCATTGCCCCGTTTGCAGTCCTCCGCAGATTTTGCATCGTTCCATCCTTGAGTTCCGGTTTTGAGGGTTTCCGCCTCATACTGCAAATTTTGCACCGTTTAACAGAGTTGAAAATTACTTTACATTGAGATAATTGCTATTTAAAAGACGTGACTCGAGTTGGACAACATTGGTTTCCAGCCTTTTTACCATCAGAATCTAGTCTCCCTTTTTCTTATCACCATTTATGTAATTTTGAATTTGCTATGAAAAAAAGAAGAAGAAGAACACTTTTGACCTCTTTTTTTTCAATATTGCTGAGTTCATATTAACGTTCGTGCTGATTCGAGTGTTCGATTATTATAGACTTTGCGCAGTCGTAATGGGTGATAAAGAAGTGACCAAGACAGAATTTCTCCTTGCAATATCAATACAATATCGAGCAGACAATTCATGAGAATAAAGAAAAACATCAATTAGGGGATTATTAGTTGATCCAATACCAAATTCTCCAAACTAACATCACAGAACTATATGGAAGATAGTAAGGAGAATTACTAATAAGATCTTGGGAGTTAAAGGGTTAAGACTAAACTGTGATACGAGTTTGATGGTTATATGGAAGGAATAAGGGCTGAAGGGAAGACCTCGTTGGCATCTGCTGATGTGGTAATTTTCACTTGTGACTCTACGGAGATATATATATATATATATAAAGTAGCTGGAAATATTTTATATGTTGGATGTCGAGATCAGTGAAATTTTGAGTGTGATAAAAGAGACATTTTGGTAAACTAATGGATGATCAGTGTGGCAAGAAAAGATAAGTTTGCCCCGTTCAACTGCGGAGAATACTTTTGGGGTAATTTTGTTTGAGGAAACTGTTCACTTACTGCTTATTTACATAACCATCTCCCGAGCAGGGCTTGATCTTGCCACTGTTTTTCCACGCTGTTAAATTAAGTTCTATCATTGGCCTGTGATGGTTATTGTTATTTTAGACAGATTCAATTTAGTGAGAAACAGCCTCAAGAGGGATCTTGTTTTAATTGTACACTGTAATTATAGGATTATATAGGATTTATGAGGGTTTGTAATATTATCTAAGGAGAGAGACTTAATCAGATTTTTATATAAAAGATATTTGAAATTGATAAAAATGACTATTTGCTTTACGGTTGAGGTAAAATAATTTCGTAAAGATAAAAATGGGCTGTACTTACTCAAATGTCCGTTTGATTAGTTTCCATGAACATAACCCCAAAAACAAAGCTTAAAAAAATCACGACTTGAGCAATGCGCGGTTGCCCTCTGGCCCTCTACACCTTAACACCAGTGTGCAAGTTCTCCGTACTGTTCTTTCAAATATTTCCTAGGGTCCTCTCAAGGAGAAATTGTCTAACAATCAGGACCGTCTCGAGTTCGCAACATTTCCTTTACTCTAATGACTTCAATTTTTGATTCAGGGGTGATACTATTGGGGAGAAATTCGATGTGCTGTGCTATGGGAGAGAGCTTAGATTTACGAGGCTTGAGATTCATTGTGAAACCTTGTCAATTTTTTTAAATTGAAACTTCCAACAGATACTCTGAATCATACTTTCAACTGTGGCAGATAACGCTTTCAACCAGCGCGCAAGGGTTTATGACTTCGCGCACCTTAGATCCACGAGAAAAAGTCCCCCCATCTCTCTTAAATGCTACAATTATGACACTGGAGAGAGACTTCAACGGTTACATCTGCGCATTCTAGTCAAAAAGTGTGCGTTAATTATCGTAACAGAAGTGGAAAGGGAAATTCTTGCCGTTGTATAGTGCGATGTCAAGCTGGTATGGCAGGACCGTACGAAATTACTTTGGAGTGCATTTATCAAGGAATGATGCGGAGACACTAGCGCTTTTCAAAATCGTCGTTGACAAATGTCCATTTTTAGTTGAAAGACAACAGGTTCCGCCGAAGGCCGCTGACATGTACGACCAGTCATGTGACCTGGCCGGTCGAGTTGCTCTCGGGGATAACGTGAGTGTGAATTTGACAAGCGGCATGCTTGGAGGAAAGCTGCACTCGTAAAGAAGTGCAATTGCCAGTTTCAGCTTTCTCCTCAAGTCTGCACCGAACGAAAAAATTTGAAATGATGCGATTTTACTCCGGAACTTTAGACAGCATAATCATCGCGATTACTGGGCATTGTGTTAGCATTAGTCTGAGTATTTTTAAGTATTTGGGAGAGTCTTAGTGAATTGAATCATACTTTTTTTCTTCGAGTTTTCAAAAAATATTTCCACGCAAGCACAGTTTTTTATCAAAATGTTTACCATTATATTAGGAACAGCTCTCCAGTAACATGACTTTTTGCTTCTTGAGCCTACCGCTATGTTTACTGTCTGGACAGCAGGCTTAAAAATGAAAGGCATTTTATGTAGTATACTCTACATGTCCCGGACTTTTCTGGAATATTTCAACACAATCCGCGTTTTTCTCTGAAAGCATCACTCTTTGGGAAGTGAGATTACTCTGAATACGTAATCCTCACTTCGACTGGTAACTTCAGCGTCTAAAGTGCATTAATTTAAATTTTCTCTGAGTCTAAATCTGACTTTGCAGCATACATGTTTTCTTGTTGTGCGATTTTTTTAATGAATATCATTAGAAATCGTCTGTTAAGTCATCAAGGCTGTCTATCTCGGCTTGTGTCTTTTGGATCTTTTTCCTCTCTTCCTGAATCTCGGCTTTAATCCTGTCTCGGTAGAGTGTTAAATTATTGACTTGTCGCTCTTTTTCCTCCGCTTCTGAGGCCTTGGTGTGCAGTTCTTGTGTGAGGAAGGTCAGCTTTTTTTCGCTTTCGTCTTCCCTTTCGTAAGCTCCCTCTTCTCTTTCCTTAAGTCCGTCCATTTGGCTCCTTGCTAGCTGAATACATTCTTGCAGTTTTTCAGCTTTCTCCAAAGCGTCGCCTTCTCTTCTGAACACCTGCAAAGGTCAAGGAAAGCAGGTGATTGCCAAAGAGAGTTAAAAGCAATACGATAACCATTGGAGGATCTTGGGGGAGGGACCCAGCAAGGCAAGCGACAAAAAAACCGCCCCCCCGCTTCCTTAGCTCAAGGTCTGGATTCGCCACTGATGACGAATGGAAGAGACCTGTTCCTAAACACCCGGAAAGCAAATTTTTCATCAAGAAACGTGCCTCATTCATCAGATCACGAACGTCCTACATAATTTTTAGCGAGGTAGATGGTCGAGACAGAACACGCGAGCGTCAATGAATGCTAAGTTCAAAATGCATTCATTTGCTTTTGTGTTTTATGCTTATGAATCTTATCCAGGATAAACTAATTATATACGCAATTGTTTCATACTGACGTCAGTCCCAAAAACTGATGTCAGCAAAATTTCCGCACAGCCCCATCCTACATTATGCATTTAGTTCTTGGATAGAGAAAACAATACATTGCCATTGGGAAAACAGATTTGTTTTACAATAGTATGGGGCTGTGCGGAAGTTTTACCCCGATGTCTTTCTTTGGACAGTTAGGTTTGAAAAATTTTGCTTACGGAGCCGAGAAATATACGGGTAGTCGTAGTATGTGAAATAGTTCCGGTATAGTCCAATGTCGCAATATCTCGTGGAGTTTTTCCTAAATGTTATATTCGTTTTGATGCCGGCAGCAACTGTCTCAATTGTACAAAAAGTGCTTCAGTAACACTGAATTTCCCAAGTTCAGATCGGAGTGAGTTGCCAAAACAGGGCAAAGAAGTTGGCAAGACATAAAAAGTGTATTGCTTGCAAAATTTATTTATAACAGTCGGGATAAGTTTCGCTTCCCGCAGAGAAAGAACGAAGCTGTGATCGTGGGAATGCAACGGAAATTATTTCTAAGTCGTACGTTTAAAAGCGTCTAAAAGAAAAACGATAGGAAGAGTCGAATAACCGAGTAAAGAGCCCTCACTTAGTTATCTATTTATTCGGTTCGGTAAATCTAAAAACATTAGTTCCCTCGGAGCGAAGAAATGACGCGTGAAAAAAATACATTTTGTCGGACATGACTCGCTGTGGGAGGGTTTCGTGTAATCATTTGCATGTAATCTTAAAGGAGCACGTCATTTCTTTGTGAGGTACTTAACTATCAGATGAGGCAATTCTCTTGGGTGCCAGCATCGCCTCTTTTGTCTACGAGAACGGCTGGTTTTGGTAAAACTAAGCACTGAATTACTCAAATAAAAGCTTAACACTGCTAGTTAAGTCATTGTTTCTATTCAACATGTAAAGCCGAAACAGTTTCGTAGCGCTAACCAGGCTTGGGCGCGTTGTGATAAATTCTTACCTTTTCAAGTTCACTCTCCAACTGTTCCAGGCGTAGCGTTGATTCTTTGTTCTCCGATTCCTTTTTGTCAGCGATGTTGCTAATCTTCTGTAACTGCTTCTCCAAGCTGTTTAACTTCTCGTCCCCATCCAGTTCAATATTTTCAAGGGTCTTTACAAGTTCGCTTTCGACCTTGTCTTTATCTTCTAGGTCTTCCAGCTTTTTGAGCTTTTTCTTCAGCTCGTTGTTCCTCTCCGTCAAAGTTGCTTTGGCAAGTTCAATTTTCCTCTTGCATGAGTCGCGGTCCAATTCGAGCTCATCTGCCTTTCTTTTCGCCTCTTTGAGCACGTCCAAAGCGTTGTCTGCTCTATCATCTGCAACGTCGATCTTGTCTCTGATTTCTTGAAAACGGTCACGAATTTTGTTTTTCGCGTTATTGGTATACATTTCAAATGGGGTATTTTCAAATCGATACGTCCAAAACTATACGACTCCTCGAAAAATCAATCTTACGGATACTAACTTGCGCGCTCAAGATGTAGCGGAGTGTTTAAAAGCAGTCGAGTTTTAACAAGAATGTTAAATATTCAAAGACGGCAGAAGTGGATATTGTGAACTTACATGAGCAGTCAAGTACTACTCATTTTTATGTAAATATTGTGAATTTTTCTAAAAGCTTATTGGCGCCGTTTGGTCTAATATCGCATAGAAATTATACTGTTGACCCGTGTAAATTCTCAAGGTAGACTTCCTTATTGTTCTTGTGATGCACGTTAAAAGAATTTGGTTCTTTATCAGATTTGGCGTCTACTGCATCGATAAAAAAATTCTCATTAACTGAAAGAGTACTTTGTACGGACACATCAGAGAGAAATATCATTATAATCGTTGTTCAGGCTCATTTAACACCGGATAGACGCGATTTGGCTCAGTGCTTGTGGCTTTATATTTTCGTTTTATTTTCAATGACTTCTTTTGTGTTGCGAAAGATATTAAAAGAATACGAACAATCGTAGCCGAAACATGTCATTAAAAGGACTGTTGTTTTGTATTTAGTTAAAGATATTAGCAGATTAGCACAGTTTGCCATCGAGCAACAAATTTTTATTCCGAATTGTAGAACTCCGTAGAGGCACGTTTTCTATCGTGATGGAAAAGGGCGTAACATTAATAGGGACAGGAACTGACGTGTGAATCTCATAGCATTCCTGGATGATCTCATTGCCCAGCTATGAATGAACTTTCAAGCATCTAAAGACTCTGTCTATTCTCAGTTACGAAACCATTTCATCTGCGGGCTTCACGGTTGAGCAGCCATTTTGAATAAATTTTGCTTTGATAACTGATTAACGAGTCGCAAGCAGACCGACCAGACTGTCGAATTTAACCTTTTAACTCTCATAATTGATTAAAATTTAACTTCTCCCTATAATATTCATACAATATCCAGCAAACAGGCTGTGAGAATACTCAAAATAACCAGGTGCAAGATATTACCTAGATCGAACACCAAAATCTCATAACCAAGTTACAAGGAAATGTGTAGCAGCTAGAGGGGAGAATTAACAATCAGATCTTGGGAGTTAAAGGGTTTAGAATGAAGATTTTTTTCTTCGAGATTTTTCCCGTATTTTCGCAAAAAAAATCCCTGGGTGACGGTTGTAGTTGACGGTTGTAGGACTGGCTAGATGGTTGTTGTTATCAACCAAAGGTCACGACAAAATTTTTCTTTTTGTAGCCGACCAGTTGTGAATCAAATGATTGGTGTCTTTGCCTGAAAAGATAATCGTCAGTTCCGCGATTGAAAGCAATGATTACGCCATTAAAGATAAAGAGAGTATTTATAGTGTAATACAATTAAGATGGAAATGATTGAATTCTGAAAACCGAGATCTTGTGATTTTTGTTCAGCTAACACATCACGCAATGTTGTTGACGATAAATGAGGTTACTGGTCCATTTAACCGACGAGCTTAGGAAGAGGTCACCGGCGTTAGTTTGAAGCAAAATTACTGAACAATGCTTGGAAATAAGACCTAAGGCACTGAGATATTGGCTACGAAAAACTTTGGCTGAAAATGTTGGATAAGGCCTCATCAAATTGATGGAGAGAATGAATTTGATCTGTATCAAGGGTTCAAGTTGAACGATGAAACAGATACGGCTGTCTTGCGTGTTGATAGCAAAAATACTGCACAAATTTCATCGTTTAAGACTCACTTCCGAGTTGAAAGAGAGAGATTTCTGTCAGATGTAGAAAATAAGTAACTTAACAGAATGATAGCGGGAAATTGAGGAAACTTTCCCCTTTAGCAACACTAATTTTGTCGAAATTTTTTAAGTGACAGTGAGAGGCTGCAAAATAATTATTAAATGCCCAAGATAAAGTAATTAGTTTCCCCTTTCCAAGATAAGACTGGTTTTGGAAATATTTAGAGGGATTCTAGTCTTTCTACCGAAGAAGTGATAGATTCCTAATTAATGGCTTAATAACATGGGATACAAATGGCAATTTTAGCTTAAATTCTTCCTCAGGGAATTCGTTTTAGATGGCTGATCTACTAAAACGGAAAACTCTGGAGTGATTATCGTGTTTTGCTTAAAGGTTCGCTGTTACAGCTGCCACACGATAATACCATTACAATAGGTTAAAATTTAACATGGGTAGCTTCTTGCATTACGCAATAACGAGACCTATTGCTCACTGAATTTAATAAATCAATAACTCTAAATTTATTGACAAAGTCAACAGATGGCATACGTTTCTCACGGCTAAGATTTCCTTTAACTTACAGTTTTCAAATTAAGTGCTAGTGTTCATATCAGTCGTCGTCTTCCTCCTCCTCTTCGTCGTCGTCGTCGTGGTCATCGTACCGCTTTCTCTCTTCATTTCTCGCTCTTTCATCGTCATCTTCTCCTGGTTCCTCATCGGGCTCTTGACAGACATTTGTTTCTCTAGTCGTTGGCACCGCTGCTTTCTTCCCCGCTTTGACGTCATCTTCATCGTCGCTTAAGTCTCCTCCAACCAACATCTCCATATCTTCCATCTCCTTTCTCACTTCCTCGACCTTACCGTTCCAATCGCGTATTTCTGTCGTCATCTGGTCGATTACTCGCTCTAATGGGGGGATTTTCCTTTCGTGATCTTCAGCTGCGGCCAGCATTTCTTTTAGTTGTTCCTTCAGGAAGCTCACCTTGTCCTCGTTAAACTGCTCACGCTCGCTGGCGTCTTCATCTCTCTGCTCCAGGTCTCGCAAATTTTCTCCGGCTTGGGTGACACGGTCAGTCAAGGAATCGATCTTTTCTAAAGCGGCACCCTCGCGTTCCTGAGCCTGTGAACACCGATGCAACATACAAACAAACGCATTTAGCATTTAGGGTACCTCATTGTCCTTAGACGGATGCATTAACGGGTTTTGCTATCTTTATTTTGGCTTTCTCGAGAATTATTGGCAAGAAGAAACGAATCTAGGGCAAACAAATTCACACACAAACATGCATTAAGATTGTGAAATTGTGAGAAATCCTGGAATTAATTATAGACAGACTGGCCAACAGTTTGGCCTCTACTATTCGGGACGCAACCACGCTCTCGTCCCCACTGTTAAAATGCATATGTTATATAAATCTCGGCTATCTTCTCTGAATAAAAATGATCGACAACAATATGTTTTTTATCTATACTTCTTTGACATTCATTACCTTTAATATTATTTCCCGCCTGGCCTAGTTGTTCAAAGGGCAGATAACGCTATCCAACAGGTAAATCGCTATCCAGAGGCCCTCTGATTTAAGTGTAAACAAAACTTACTGCCCCATCCTCTGGACAGTGATTTATCCATCCTTCGACTGAACAACTGAGGCCAGGAGATTTCAATGAAAGAATAACTTATTTTAAATTCGTTCCATGGCTATTTCAGGCGGAGGACTCGGCTATATTTACCCTCAGAGTCGAGTTCTAATTGATAAGAATTGAAAGTATTTGAATTTCGATCATTTTATTGCTGCGGCTGCATGGAACTGCTTAAGACTAATCAGCTCGTATTAGCACAGAAAGTTCGGATCATCTATTTATCGGTTTGGATCTTTGGTATTCGGTACATCTGTGAATGAGCCAACGAGCATCGCTTTTACGATTTATTGAGAAGATAAGAGGCGAGGTTTAATCTGATCTCATTAAGAATTAACTGAAGAGATTATTTTCCAAAGCGCAAGACATAAATAACTCGTAGTGATAAATGGCACGTAATTTGAGCGAAAAAGAATTGTCATATCTGAAGGTCTATTTTGAGCGTTACAGTAGACCACACTCAAACCGTTTCCCTTGAGAAACAATTCTGCAATTCTATCTGAAGTATAATGACGCTTTTCTTCGTTGAGAGATCATGTCAATGTCTTTCTCGTGACTTTAATTCGTTTTTGGATATATTCGTTTTCTGTTTTGAAAGTGTAAGGTTTAACTTTTAAATGCGGCCCAATTGTTGTGGTTGTAATTATCCGCATGGTTTGATTAATCCTATTGTCTGACTTTTTCGGCTCACAGATTAAAGAAATTTCCGAAAATATTGTCACGTCGGAGAAGAGATCGGAGAAGAGTGGGGGTGAGGGGGGGTTAGACATAAAAAAAAAAATTTCGCGTCTAAATGTCAGCCAGCTGTTTGCAGAGCTGTTCATTTTGTGGATTAGAACGCAATATTATTGAAACAAAAACGCCGGAAAAACTGAAATTGATACATTGATGGATTGTCCTGATTTAAATCTGACAGACTTTATCTACAAAAATAATTAGTACTCAATGATAAGTATACCATGTCTACTATGTCTCCGCGTCCCTTTCATGATAGTTCATGGAAATATTACTCATACAGTGAACCGAGCAAATGTAGATTGGATGTACTTGATTTCGAGTGTACAAACAAAAGCTTTCAAATCGGCTGCAACACATAGTGTTTCATGTAATCGAAGCCCTCGAGTTATTCCGCTTCAGTGACACAAAAACAATAGCTCTGTTTACTTCGACCCTTGCACTAAAGCTTGTTTACTTTTCGATCGACCTAAAGAAGGCTCCTCGACGCAATTCAGCTTTTCTTATCAGAGAAAATGCCTAATAAATTTTTCAGTTCTTTGGACGCTAGAAAATTGAAAAGTCGTTACCGCGATAAAAATCAGCCATCTGGCATATTTTCATTCGGATGTGAAGGTATCAAAGTATCTATTACCGTAGATTCCTATCCACATAACTTATGAGCTTTCGAGATCACTGATTAGTTCACCAATTGGTCGTTGCGATAAGCAACTGAAAGATTTAACTACATCGTGTGCTTTATCTTTCATCAGTCGGCGCTAATTTTTGTACAAAATACAGAAAGAATTCAATTTTGAAAATATTTTTCTCTTTTTAAGCTGACGGAACGGTAAGTTTCTTCAGTAACGTAATTCAACGACGATAAACAACCATGCTTTGGAGAGCAGTTTACAATTTTATAGTAAAAGCTGGCTCATACCTTTTGAATCTCGTTCTCTAACTGGCCAAGTTTTTGCCTCAGTTCCGTATTTTGTAGTTCCAGTTGCTCCGCTTTTTGACTCGTCTCGGTCAAATCCGTCTCCAATTCGTGCATCCTTTCATCCTCGCCGATCTCGACGTTCTCAAGCTCGCGAACAACTTCGTTCTCCTTCTCGTACTTTTCCTCTAATTGGCCACTTTTCATTTTTCTCTCCTCTAATAGAGCATTCTTCTCATCCAGCTCTTTCGTAAGGAGCTGAATTCGCTTTTTCATCGAGTCAACGTCGGTTTCATTCTGGCCCAATGTCGCCTCCACCTCTTTGCATTCCTCTTTGGCGTCGTGTTCCCTATTTTCAGCATCTTCAATTTTGTCTTTCATCTTTTGCATTCTCTCACGAACCTTAAGCAAAACTTCGCTCGACATTTTGAATAAATTCTTGATGAGCTCTGTCAACTTCTTCAGCAACGCGATATAAGTAAAGGAGGGGAGAGATGTTAAAGTGGTACCCCGTTTAAAGGTTGTGTCGAACGACCGTATGTTCTCCCGGTTTATTTCGTCAAAGCGCGCAAATATTCCAAGAATGCTTCTGGGCGAGTCTTAAGTGGTCGGGAAAGATGATTAAGGGGAACGAAACACAAAAATGAAAAGCTTCTTGTGACCCATTAACCTATTGTTAAATGGCATTGTATCGTATGACAAGTTTGTTCGAAATTTTTAGCATTTTGTCAAGTGAGCTTGTAGCTCAGTGCTGAAGGATTGAAACCAAAATTTCAGTTCAAAATGACTTGACAATATTTGTATCTGTTACTTAGAGCTTTGCTGAATATCGTATACAATTTTAACTTTTTGTTTAGACGCTCTTGAGTGATACAAAATAATTATCCGCAGTTTAAGTTACTAAATAAAAGCGAATTTAGCAATCGCATTTTAAGTATAATCGAGAAGGGGTGGGAAAGGTACAATTTACTTTACATAACATTACTAACAATCTAATTGTCATTTCTTGCATGGTTGAGGTAAGTCTTCGTTCTACGCATATGGGTGTCTCTAACCAGCTCTGGCAGCTTATAACCTACTCTATAAGACTAATAATCTGGATTTGAAGGAACTAGGTGTTTAGAACCCAACCCTTCATAAGAGTTCCTTCGCTCGATTATCCCCTCCCTCCCCCCTTCCGTCGGAAATTTACACCACATCCTCAAAAATATACTCGCTCCTACTACTCGCCTGTTTTTATTTGAAGTCACGGGAAATGAAAAGTTTTGTGACGTTCAACACATGACAGTCATGTGAGGGCTTCATCTGCTATCATTGTTCGTATATTTCGGTTTACCTTTATTACATCAATGATAATCTCGACTACTGTGCTAAATAGATATAATCAAAACTTGATTTGTTATGACTGGGGCAATAAATCACCATTATTTACATGCCTAAAATTGTACTATTTCCCATTGTGTGGATTCCTTCGCCGCATTCCACGACAGGAAGACAGGAAACGAAAGCATTCAGAGGAAAAACTCAAACAAATCGTCTTATTTTGGGTATGTTTCTGAAGCTAGCCCAAATATGGACAAACGATGGAACGATCTATTTCAATTTTGACATGCAGTCCAAGTTTAAAGACCACAAGCGAGGAAGTCATCATGAAGGATTTTTTTCTACTTCGCACTTCCATGTATAGAGAAAAAAACTCTCTGTGTTTGCTCTTTAATTTCAGGGTCATATTCTAGATTAATCAGATGATAGCCCCGTTAAGTGACATCTTCAATATGGAAAGATGGCTCCAATCGATTAATCCTTCTGCCGGAGAACTGGTCAATAGTCGTTTATATGATTTCATAACACCATGCTTCTGAAGACTACGAAGCCGCCTCAAATGACAAGGATTTATATTCAACTTATTTTCAGGTTCCGGTCAAAATATTGGGTTGGGAAATTCCAGAATAAAATACAATTATGAACCTCGCTACTCTTTTTAGAATCTTATCAAGCGCTCATCTGTTAATTGATAACTCTCTACTTTGCGTCTAATCAAATATCCATTTGATGACCGTCATTGAAATTGCTTAAAATTATTATTTCCACACTTACACTGGAATGTTTTTAACCACATGACACGGAATTGATAATAGAATAGAACTTTCTGGAAGTTTATACAGACGAATTCCAGGGTTGTGTTTACGTCCTTTTACGGTAACAAAACACAGTGCAGAAGCGTATACTGCGGAGGTCTTAAAAATGCCTTGAAGGTCTGGATGGGGTTAACCCTTTACATCCTAATATCAGCATACATATTCTCCATAATGTTCTTCATAAATTTCCTTGGTGTTGACAAAGAGAATTTGTATAACAATCCACAGCATCTTTAGTTGGTGATCATTTCCTCAATTCTTGTGACGTTAATGTTTTACTCAGGGATGAAATCGTAAGGAGAAATTAGATGCTGGTCACTCTTAGGTGTTACTGAGTTAACTGTTAGCTGTAGAACGGACAAAAAGTGGTGCCGTTATGCGTAAAAAAATTGACAAATTTTAACCGTTAGTCGTAAAAAAGGTTAAAAGAAAAAATTTTCCTTTCTATAATTTCTCATTTTCTGTCAATTTGGGCTAACTTAAGCCTTATAATGGCCAAACTTTTAATCGTTAGCCGTAAAAGCCATCACCCTCATTGAGACTCTATGTCTTTGTAAGGGGTCATCTAGGCCCCAGTCTTTAGACGTGAAGCATCAAGTCACGGTTTCCCATTGATACCACTGTCTACCTCTTTTTTGATGTTCCCAAAATCTACCACACAAAACACTGTTATTGCTCTCAGGAATGATATTCAACATTTTGGAGAAGAAGTTCTGGAATTCTTTAACGTTTGCTATTTTTCTCTGTTACTCGACACGCAGCTTGATGGACTGATCGAGTCCAACTTGGATAGTCTATGACTCAAGCGTTTCATTTAATTGCACACTGAGTATGATTTCAGAAAATTAACCTTCACTTTTACTTTGTGGAAACAGGATGCGCTTTAAGTAATAACCTCTCATTTGTGACAACTTTCAGTTTTTGCTAAAGGGGTTTTTTTGTAAAAAATCAATTTACGAAAAAAGAGACTAGAGTCCGAACTCCGTAGAAAATATGTATTAAACTTGTTCAATGAACCACAACATCTGGCTAAAATAAAAACTCCGAAACTTCTTAAATTTGCAAGCAAAGGGGTAACGAATTTAAGCGAACGGAAGCTCAAAAACAACATGCTAAAAATCCGTGAAAATAAACTAAAAGTACGCGACTAAATGTCCACGTCAGTTTTCCAATGTCAAGGTCAGAGTTCTTTGACGTGATTGGCCAATTTGTGAAATCACGTGCGCCGCGCGTGAATACAAAGAGAATACGACGGGGGGAGAGGAAGAGAAAAATTGTTATTTGAAATTTAAAAGCGAAAGAGATTTCTACAGTTTTTCCCGTTACCTAAAAAATTCTTTTTCATGACCATGTTAAGTATCAGCCTGATTTTTCAGAACAAATTATCCAAAAACTCCGTGAGTCAAGCTAAAAAAGAGCATTTCGATTTCGCCCGCTAACCTTATGTACGCGCGCAGAACTTGAGATCGAAATGCAAAATTATCTACATTTGTGACGTAACAAACCTCATTACTAGTTACAATTGTAAGGTAGATAATTTAAGATGATAGATTGTGACACAGTCTCCAGCAGAAACTGCCATGTGTGAAACAGAGAGCATAAATAGGTCAACATGAAAATTAATCATTCAATTTTAGTTCTTTGCCTTTTGGGATGTTATGTGAAATTGCAATCAGTTGCAGTTGTTGACTCCTCATTAGAAATAGAAGGTATGACAGTTATCTGTTGCAAAACTCCAAGAAAAATGCGTTAACTAAACTTTCATTCCGTTCCTTTCTTAGTTAAATGATCATATAGTACATGAATGTGTATTTAACGTTTTAATAGCGAAGAATGGTCGGAACTCTGTTCACGAACAAGAGACAATGATTACAGTTGAATTAGAAGATTCCCCAAAGATAAATGGTGTCAGGAATAGATATAAACGAAACTTCGTCGCGTTCAAACGCCATCGGTGGTACTCGAAAACAATCCCATACATCTTGGACAAATCTTTAGGTAAGGATCATATCTAAGAATCAGATTTGTTGATAAGAACAAAAAGAATACTCAGTCAGAAATATTAGGCTTATGCTAAGTAACTTTTGAAAACACATTTGAACATGAGGTAACGTAGAAACTTTCATTCTGCCTTCGCCTGGGTTCCAAGCTGATCAATCTTACCATAAACGTATGGCTGATAAGCTACAAACCAAATGAGTGAGTCTCAGAAGGCCACAGTCGGCTTACACATGCATCGAGTTAATTTATCTTTCAAACGTTGTTTAAGAAATTAATGTAACAACTTCAAAATGTTCTGCAAAATACTTTAATTTCTAAATTATTTGAATACTAAGCTCAACCATACCATGAAGGGTAAAAAATCTCGCTTTGTTTTAGGATCATCAGGGAAACAAGCCTTCAGAGAGGCCGTCAAGGAGTTTCGGAGAAAGACTTGTCTCAGATTCACTCCCTACACAAATGAGAAAGATTACCTTTGGGTTTATCGAGGATCAGGGTGAGTTAAAGGATGTAAAAAGTTCATTTACGAAAAAGAGAGGCTAAAGTCTAAACTCCGTAGAAAAATATGTATTAAACTTGTTAAGTGAACCACAACATTTAGCTAAAATAAAAACTCCGAAACTTCATAAACTTGCCAGCAAAGGGGTAACGAACGAACGAAAGCTCAAAAACAATTGACTAAAACTCCGCGAAAACAAACAAAAGTATGTCCACGTCAGTTTTTCAATGTCAAGGTTAGAGTTCTTTGACATGATTGGTTAATTTGTGAGATCACGCGCGCCGCGCGTGAATAAAAAACGAATACAAAGGGGGGAGAGGGAGAGAAAAATTGTTACTTGAATTTAAAAACGAAAGAGATTTTCTATAAAGGGAACGAATGGGGTAATGCCACTCATTATTCCGTGAGGATTGATTAATAACACATACGATCTCACTACCTTGTGGAAGTTCCACCCAAAGACGCCAACCTTATAGAGCACACTAACTGCCGAAGACGCACTAGCACACGTTTCCTACTGATTACCTTTTTAATAATCTAGAAAAACAAATCTCTGCAATCACATCTGCCGGTCAACTAACGGGCTGAACATATAAAACGACACTTTTCTCTAACAAAGAAAGATCCTAATCACGAGTTTCTGGTTGCTTATTCAAGTGTTTCTGGTCTCTTAATGCAACGCAACAACAACGAAATGATTGTCTACAGTTTTCGAAACCAATTATAAATTTTTGGTTGAAGCATACTAATGTAAATTTGGCCAAAAATTGAATTGAGGCGATTTTTTAAAATCAATCATTTTAAAGCAGTTTGTGGTAACGTTAATTAACATTTTATCTATGATCTCCATGACAAGATGGTTCATCACTACCAATTGACCCCTTCTCGCCAATAAGAAGCACAGGACGAAATCGCATGTTTCCGTATTTCTGAAACGTGGCGGAAACATGCAACTCCATGTTTCCGTTATTAAGATATGGTCCGGTTCCGTTATTTATTATAAAAACGCGATTAAACGTCGCGAAACCGGTAACGGAAACACAGGTTATCCGTCGTGTTTCCAGAACGGTTTAACATGTTTCTGCCACGTTTCCGTTTACGGATTCTTGCAATTTCGTCCTGTGTAAGGAAGGTGTTCTTCATCAGACTTGGCTATTAAGATATTATTTAGACTATTGTATCAGGAATATTTCTCTCGATTGTTTTTCTCTCCCACGGCGAAAATGGGTGAATTGCACCCTCCATCTGTAGTCGCAGAGACTGGCGATAGCACTGCCATTACCTTTTGTGTTTTGAAAATATCTATCTATGGTATAGATGCTCCTCCGTTACTGGGAGATCTGGCGGCAACCAAACCATGTCTCTTGGAGAGGGTTGCCATAGAAAGGGTGTTGTCATCCACGAGCTGCTGCATGCACTGGGTATGACGCACGAACATTGCAGAGCCGACAGAAACGAGTTCATCAGGATCAACATGGAAAATATCAAGAAAGGTAAGTATCTTTGATCCAATGAAGCTATCGTCTTCTCTACGTGAAAGACCGAGTCAGAGTACTGAGATTGCAGTAGAAGAGGCGCTTTTGTCCCCTTTATTTACGTTGTATACCAGAGATCAGTCAAACCTTTTTAAGGGGAGTTTTTAAAGTTCTTCTCCGTTGAACCTGTATCTGTTGAGTCAATATCTGGATTTAACTGGATTTTAACAGGATGTGGCTTTTCTTATTTTGATGTGACAAGCCCTTTTGCTTGTACGCGTCAGTATTTATTCAGAGAGCGATTAATGCTGCCACAATAGTAGTCATATAATGATGATTTCATTTTTACTTTAGCTCAGGTTGAGTGTATCGAATTCAAATTAAATCTGTTATAGATCTAACGCCTTACTAAGGCTACTAAATCTGGTTAGGGGCCCATGACAACAATGAGAAATAATCAGGCAGTTGTCTAAAAGAAATATTTCACCACATAATAACAAAGTCTTGCCCATACGCTGTTATGATTTTCCTTTAGATGCCAGGATTGAGTACCGGATATGGAGAGGTTTCGTTACTAAAGAGCCTTACGACTATGGATCCATAATGCACTATGGGTTCAACTTCTTCAGCATCGATCCCAAGAAACCAACCATTGTCAAGTTAATGCCTGGTGGTAAGCAGATGGGCCAAAGAAAAGGATTCTCAGATCTTGATTTGAGAAAAATCAACAGGTTCTACAACTGTTTGAATTACATTGGTAAGTATATTTTTGACAAATAAACGGATTATATGGCAGAGTTCCTTGAATAAATGTCTGAAAGTTGTCTATTTTTGCTTCTTTTGTTTTGTTTCGTTTCCTTATTCAATTATTTTTCCAGAATCAATTCCAGCGCCCGAAAAGGAAGTTTTCAAGATAGTGTCAGGTAAGGGGTTTCAGGGAAACAATCACAACATGTATTTATTTCAATGCCATCTCGTTAGATAAAAAACACCACCACCCGGCAAAATCTAGCTAGCAAGTAGCAATCAGGCCAATTTCGGGCTGGAATGTTTTTTATTACTCCTGGTCTTGCTGGTCTCTGGGAATAAGCTCCGGCAGTTATGGACAACTTGGCTCCGAAGACATGACCTTTCTGCATGAGGCATTACCCTCCTATATACTGGACGCCGGGTTTAACTATCAAGACTTCATAAATTTTGGCACATTTGCATTCAATTCTTAGCTTGTTGGCTCGTGAAGGTTTTGAGAGGCAAAAATGAGTTACGAATTCTCGTGAGGAATGAAGAGGGAAAACTTAAGAAAGATTTCCCCACTCGCAGTTTCGCGTTTTTGCTTCAACTTCGTCGCCTTCTCAAAACCACCTATAGAACCACGTGTTAGCTGGGTCTTTTTCAATGTTTCTCTTTACACCGATCCTTTTAACTTTTACATGTAGGAGACTGTGACTTTGAGTGGGGATTTTGTAATTGGGAAAACTGGATCAACGAAGAACAAGATCAATTTGATTGGAAGATAGGGACAGCTGTGATCAAAACTTGTCCCGGGACAAACCTGCAACACCCTTCTAATCCGTTCGTTACTGGTAAGATTATTCGCACAGCTTGCCTTTGATCTTAATGCCTGTATCTTTATGTCAAAAATAACAAAAACTGACATGTCGAATTAGCGTGTCAATGATGGTACCACGTCCGATCACAATTTTTTTTATTTTTTGTTGTGGGAAAGACCATATTTGCCTTGATCACACATTTGAATTAGAATGCTGCGCATGGCACCTGATAATTATATTCCATACGTATAGGCTACACTTCCACCAATAAAGTCGTGATTGTGCTAAACATTATGTAGTTTTTATTGATAAACAAGCATCCCCGAGTAGGTTTGGTCAGAAGTGATCATACCGATTACATCACCTAAGGCGTAGTTTTCACCCGAGTTTATTCCACTGTTGCAAGTAACGAATGACGAAAAGTAAACGAAAGCCTTCCTCTGTGGCTGTCGCGTTTGTGTTTTGGATAAAGGGGAACAAGTTTCTAAAGAAACTATGGTGCTGCGTCAGTGGGGGATGTTACTAATAACTTTGGTTTTATCAACTGGGTTGATGGAGAGTTTCTAGAACTGACTTTTAGAGCTAAGAGAGATTTAAACTTCGTGTTTAGACCATCGATCACTTCGTTTTTAAACAAGTTAATTCTCTTTCAAGGAAGTTTCATCTTCTTCGATAAACCGCTACGCAAACCCGCCGAGTACATGAGCAGCAGCGTGCTTTCTAGCGAAGGATTCTTCACAGGACTGAACTGCCTAAGTTTCCATTATTGCATGCAGTCAGGTGGATATCTGCGAGTGTTTATAAAGGAGGCCGAGTCAAAAGAGAAGAACCCGTATGTTTTGATCTGGGAAGAGATGGGTCTGCAAGGAAACAGACTGGACAAGATGGAGAAAACGATTTCAGGCAATATGATCAAGGTTGAATTCTTTTTCTTTTAAAACATTTTCTTTCTATAAGTTCGTCACTTTATTACTTTACTTTCTAAAGCCTGGTTCTGATTCTTCGTCGCAAAATGTAACCAAATGAAGGTATAACTGCGAGCTTTTCAGGAGCGCTCTTGTAAAAAGGTAGTGCATAACTTAAATTAGCATCTTGACAATCATCTCTGAACTTTCTCTTTTTGAGAAGATGTTTAGGCTTTTTTATGAAAAATAAACCTCATGAATATACAAAGCTATAGCAGCTATGCTATGGTTAAATAAGCTTGGTTAAATAAGCTTGGTTAAATAAGCTTGGTCTTTGAATGATAGAAAGGAAACATGAAAAACCTGAGGTCCTCGAAGAGGACTCAAGCATTTGAAAGAGCGATGAATGAATTCTAGAGACAAAAAAGTACTTATCTTAATGACGTGTTTGTCGCTCAGCTACTTTTATATTTTTATAGATTTATATCGAAGGAATAAAAAGCCCTAATCAAGATGGATTTGTCGCCGTTGATGACATTAGCGTCAATCAGGGAAAGGCTTGTGTTGGTAAGTGCTTTCTAAAGAAGCTGAGACAACATACCCAATCTATCAAATAATTTAGCACCGTGGTTTAGTTGTATCGGAGGATGCTTCAAAAACAAAACAAATAAAAAACAGAAGAAACGAACCAGGGAAACAAACAAACAAAACGATTTATCGAATAGAGAAGCGATCCTCGCAGTTATGGACACTACTGAACTAGTAGTGAAAATAAGGCCTGAAAAAACGGCATTTGAACCCATGACCTCTGCGATACCGGTTCAAATTGAGAGCATGCAAAACGATTTATATTTATAGAGTTAGGTAGATGATTGTAAGTCTATGGGGAAGCGCAGCTTGCAACGTTTAAGTGGCAAACGATGTAGTTTAAGTATCTTGTTCATTTTCCTTACTTAGGATGATATCTCCCGTTGGAAACAGGTCACACGGTACTCAGGGCTACGAATGTTACAAGTCGTCCACGTTTAAAAACGAAAGATCAATTTAAGCTGAAATTTCAGTCCACAGTAGATCACGGAAACGATGGAAAAGAGTCAGAACCTATGAATTTTCCATAATCTTTCTCTCGTGTTCTTTTTAGGGTAATCTCGATCCGGCCTTTCTGGGTAATTCTTTCGAAAGACTGAATAGCATCGAGGTACTAATCTGCAGATGGGCTGACTGATATAGATGTGGCTTTATGAAGCGTTAGTGGTGCTTTGACAGTGATAACATTTCATACCTATTTCATCTTTTAAAAATGAATTTCTCGTCAATTATAGGAAGGTTAAGCCGCTGGAAAATTCCATCGAGCCATCTCCGTTTTTTACGATGGTACACGGCTAGGGAAAAAAAAGCATGTAGCTAAAGCATGCAAACGAACAAAAAAACAAAACTGAGAGAACGACGCTAATAACCTTTTTTTTTTGAGAAAAAATGTTGAGTATGTTTATTAATTCCATATAATCAAAGCTCCGTAGTTTCATAATCAATGAATTGCGTTAAGTCTGGTTATTTTATATCTGTCATAAACATCAAGACTTTAGTTAAACATGTGTTACCAAAGAGAATGAATGTAAGAAGAGTTCGCGGACAGGTACAAAAATTACCAACGGAAAGACACCGTTCCCAGCAGGGTCTAATTTCAAAACTCTCCCTTTTGCGAATTCTTGCTACTTTGCCTCAGAGGAGAAATCAATCATAATCGTCACTTCCGTGATGTTTGCCAATTATTGTTTACCCAACTCCACTTGACTGAAATAAGAATAATATACATTTATCGTTCCTCAAAAATGTTCACATTTGATTAAAGATGTTTCTTATTTTCAGCAAAGTCACAAAGTTACTCATAGGATATTCCAGCACACGCGTTCGTTTCATTTCCTGACCATATTTCCGTTGCATCATGGCCTTCCAAAACAAGCATTAGAGACACTGTATCTCTCTACACATGATAAAAAATAGTCTGGTACGACATTTCTTCAAGTACTTTCAGGGGTGCACCTGTACCCTAAGCACCAGTCTTTCAAATTATCAAATGGCTACAGAACGACGTATATCTCGGAAGTAAACAGCCTCCTGTCGAAACTGATTCAATCTAAAATATATATTGTACATCTTTCATCGTGTGTTGTTTTTTAAGCACACATTACAAATTGCCCATCATATGATTTGAGTTATTTTTCAAAAGAATGCCATAAAACCAACTGAAAATGTGCTTCACAAACTCGTGATGATACAAGCATCACCGAGAAACATTCTTAACCCAATTTGCTACTATCACAGAAGCTAAGCATAATGTTGAAACAGTGATGTCTGGCTGTTCTTAAGACAAGGGAAACAAGCGAGGTTTGCAATTTTGTGCACCTAAGATAACAATAAATCTTAGAAGGACGGCGACATACAGTCTTTATGTTAAAAATAATAATAATAATTTAAAAAAATTAATAACCGTGAACTAAATGACTGACAAAACTCATTTATGCTGCTAATAAAATTAGGACACGAAAAGTAAGAGTTTTAAAAATGCTTCGTAAACAAGACTTTTCAACATTACCAAAGCTGCAATTGATTTGCCTCAAATGACAGGTGGACCCTTTTTGTTCCGTCTTCCTTTCTTTTCCTATCGTTTTTCATTTCATTTCATTTCATTCTTTATGTTTTAAGCTCCGGGTGCGGTACGCTACTTTATCCTTCCAAGTAAACTGAGCTGTCCACCACCCCCCCCATACTTTTTTCTTCCTTTCATAAGCGGCTGTCGATGAAATTGGATGTCTTGATTCCTAACTGCATTCGCGTTTGCTCGATTTCCCCATCAAAAATGGTTTCATGTCCCTTGAATACCTGAGTAGCCTAAACACTTGTTTATCATGAAGGCCTTTACCTGAGTGACATACGTCTTCCATATGATCTACTTTCCTGATAGGAAGATAAACACCGGGGGATTTCAGAGAAGCATCTTTAAAAGTTGTACGATTTAGATCATCCTAAAGAGATCTTGCTGATAGCAAGAACCTTTCAACCAGATCATACATCTTTTCTCTTAACTCATGGCAGATCTGTTACAACTGTGTTAACAAAGATATATTACACAGAGATAACACTAAATTTACGCAGGCTTCACGTTATAAAGTATGGCTTGCTTAACAATCATATTTGATATGAATACGTTATATTATAATATGAAAAAAAGTGATCTGTATACTCTTAAATTTTGTCAATAACTTGATATTTGATATCCATTTTTACTACCAAACACTAACCTTCTGTTAGGCACCTTGGTTCTAGAGAGCCTGCATTTACTTCTTACGGAGCTTTCTTGGTCATGTTAAATATAATTCGATATTTACATGCATTTTCTGTCTTTACGTTCAACTGCATGCGCTTACCAAACAGCTATTAGGGCGTCTGCCCCTCCTAACTCTCAACAATAATTTTAAGACCGGCCAATGCTATATTTATGAATTTCGTTTTACATTTCATGAAATGATCCGTTGAAAAGATATGTGAATATCGGAACAATTTACGCAGGGTTTTCCAAAATGTAAAATTAATCAAGAAAACTATCCGAGTTTTATTTTTTACTTAAGCGAGTAATCCGATTTTCATTTTCAACGTTTGCTTCACAATTAGCTCATTTCAGGTGGCGTACATCAGCCCTGCACGATGTTGTTTAGCAAAAAAGAAAAACCTCGCACTTATTCATCTGTCAATCTTCAAATTTGCCTCCATCCACCGAGTATACTCGTTCACATTCGTGTAAACACCATATTTGTGCGGCAACGCACACCTCTCTCCCCAGCTCACTATGCCTGCAAGCATCCAGGTGCCGTCCCCGCTCGGATCTGGACAGGCCAGCGGTCCCCCGCTATCGTAAGTGCATGCGTCAGTGCCACCTTCCTTGAATCCGGCACACAGGAAGTTTCCTCCCACTGCTCCGTTGTACGAACTAGAAACACAAGAAACAGCTAACATAAGCTTCTACATTGGTCATCCACTACTTAAAGTTTGACATGCTTTTTCGACCATTACTAACCGGGGAGAATTGCAGCCTTCTTTTCCCACCAAATCAACCCACGCCTCTCTCAGCACCGGCGAGGAACTTCCTTGCCAATAAGTGTGTCCCCAGCCAGTAACAATGCAGCGTTTACCCGCTTGGAAGTAGTTGAAACTCTCTGGCAGGCAGATCTTACTAACATGGCTGCCGAACTTCAGTGAACCAGCCATACGCACTAGCGCTGGAGAAAAGCACATAAACACCAGATATAACCCAATCCCTCTTTTATATATGACCAATTCACACTTAACATGTTTGTTTGTTTGTTTGTTTTTCCAAAGAAAATAGAAGACAACCAAAGCGCTAAAATTATCATGATCATAAAACACCGACAGAGTTTTTAACTCCTGGATGACACCGTCTTAAGAAACTTCCTCGTGAGAAACAGCAATGGATTGGTTGCATTGTTTTTGTGCTATTCCCTTACTCGAGTTTGCAGCAACAGAAAATTTCATTTAGCAAAAAGAAATAGCCCATCTTCTAATCAAATAAATCTTCACACAACGTAATATGGATGAAACACAACGTGAATCAAAATTTCAACTACTGAAGATCCCCTCTTACGCGCTTACTCATTTTCAGGAATGTAATGTAGAAATAAAATAATTGACCTGACAAACGAAAGAAACAATAGTATATCCACGAGTTCACCGCAGTGTGATTTGATCAGGTCTATTCGTCCCTTAATCACAGTAAGTACTTTAGTAAGATCCGTCCCTTAGTAAGAAAAAGAGACCCCGTAGCCTTACCGATATCGTTGTCACCGGGGTGGGAGGAATTACTTGGCTTATAGTTTGGGTGAATTAGTATTTGTTTGACGTCAAGCTTTTGTTCTTTCCCTTCCTCTCTGTGAAGTGAATGTTCACCAATGTGCACCTCCCAGTCTGAGGGTTTCTTTGATGTTTGTTCATCTAAGATTCAAACCACATAAGTTCTTGGTAAGTGCACATAAAATGGACTGATGAACTTATAGCCTGTGAGCATTTTGCATCCATTTTTTTTTGGTCCAGTTTTATCGACCTCAACATAATAAAAAGCATAATTTAGATTAACCCGTACTAAATTACAGTGGTTTACAATTGCAACAGGTTCCCCTATTCCCATGCACATTCCCTCATTTCAGAAACTTGAAACTCAGTTTTTGTAAGGAACCTCTCTTTGACTAACTTAAATACCTTTTCTCGCATTACGTTCATTTTTCTTTTCTAAAGCGGTGTGAGGGGAAGGAAATGCTCTTAAGCTCTTATTCCTTGTAAAATATACCACATAAACAATAATAGCAAAACTCACTGAAACATTGAGTGTTGTAAGGACCACTTTTGTAGTCATTGTAGGCCGTTTTATTGAATATAGTTGATGTTCTTTAGTGTAAGTTTACTCGGATCTTAGGAATACCTGTAACTATTACACGAGTTTATGGGGATATAGATATTTGTACTAATGACGATGGGGATGAGTTAGAATGATTCAACTTACTAAAGCAATGTGCAGCGGTCACGACCCAAGATGGTTTTATGATGGTTGCTCCGCAGGTAAGCTTGGTACGATTAAAGAACAAAGCAGACATCCACGGCCAGGAGTTAGGAACGCTTTCTTGTCCTCCCACAATCCTTCGGGAGCGAGGATTGTACAAACCCCAACGTTTTCCACAATCACGAGTAACTGAAAAGAGCCGAAATGTTTCTCAAGGTAAAACTTAAGACGACGTTCTGATTTATTCCCAGTTGCAAAGGAGCTCTGCTACAGAGTTTAGGGTGAAGTGAAATTGTTTGTTAAATGCCAAGAAACAATTTCAAAGCTGTTTCTTTCAAGTCTTCGTTTCTCATTTTTCTTAGTAAAGTACGAGGGAGACATCGAGAATCACGGAAATCGGCAGGCCTTTTCTACCTCGCATGCTTAATGCTCTAAAGATCTTCAAAACAAAGTAGCGAAGCCACCACTTTTAAGAAAAAGTCAACATAGCCTTTCTCCCAACGGAGAGATTAAAGAGGAGCAGGAAATTCTGTGTTCATACAGACGGCGAGGAAGAAACCGGAAGAGGTCTCTCCTAGGGCGAAGTTAGGGCCAAAGCACGGGACAGGGTGCGGCAGTGGCAAGTATGATTGTTGCCTTGTGTACCAACCCAGAGCAAAAGTTGAACAAAAAAAAAATCAGCAAAATAGAGCAAATTATCCTGATTTCAGACAGAAGACCGGTTATCTAACCTGTTGAAGTTCTACACTTCGGTTTTTCTCCTCCTCTGATCCTGGTCCCTTGAATCTGTTTTCCTTGCCGGTCCACGCACCAACAGGCTTTTGTTTTCCTGTTACATTGCAGAACTCTAAAGTGGCCGTTTGATTTGCACTTTGGCACGAATACTCCAGGGTTGTTCTTTCTTTTCCTCAACCTGCGCTCACGCATTCGCTGGCAGCGGGTTTTTTCCTTTTTGGTGTGATCTTCGTCTGTAGAAAAAAGGTTTTTAAAACATGTCAGCTTGTATTACGGAAATAGAAATAACATTTTTGGATTTCATACTATAACAATGGTGGAGATGTGAACGTTGTTACGACACTACAAGGCAAGCAATGGGATACCACATTCATAATTAAGTCACTAAACAATCAGAAGGTTGAAGTCTCCCTGCCGATTAAACAAAAAGTTCTTAGGATACCACATTCATTTTTTTTGGTTTGCATTGCTTTGTTGCCAAGTCATGATAATTTCAGGAAAAGAAAAACGCAAACGTCTATAAGAAAGGCAATGTTCTTTTTCTCTCTTTTCTCTCTCGAACAATGCCACTCCCTTTCAATGTTCTTTTAGGAACTCTCGCGAAGAAAATCCACGTGCTAATTCTATGCCGTGTAGTAAATTATAATGTGGAGGTTCACCGTGAAGAGAGATGTTGGAATCACCAATTCTACTCCTTCCCATCTTGGTGAAATTCGTTTTTGCCCCAGGAAAGTTATTAATAGTAAATGAGAAATCAAAACTAAAAACATCATCGAAAAAGTAAGAATAAATTACCCATTTCGTCCTCTTCCAGGTTTGGGTATTGCCGGACGTTTCTGGGTTTTCTTTTCCACGCCTGAGGTTGATGACGTTCTGAGTTAGAGGAAAACTTAATGGCGACATCGGTTTCTTGAATCTTTTCTCCTTGTGCATTAACTCTCCAGCATTTAAGTGGCGTTGTAGTTGTGCACTGGATTTCCCTGAAGCTTCCGTCCGGATTGCACGCTGGCGGAAAGCCACGTCTCCTCAGCGCTGCCTCGATTTTTTGTAACTGACATGTCGTGTAGTTCACTACGAGAAGAAATAACTTATATATCATGTTTCATAGTGAATGATCCAAAGCCATAATGTATTACCAAGCATTCCATGACAACAGCAATTGTGAAGGAAGATTGCCGCTTCACTGCTTACTTTAGCAAAAGAATACTCAGCAAAGGCCATTTCACAAAAATTATGTAAAAGTGGAGTTGCGCCCAAAAACTATAAAATTTTCTGAAATACTTTCTTTTTCAGTTCATTTTCGCAATTAATAAAAACCGCTCTGGATAATTCTCCTAGTTCAGAAACTGGCATGCCTCTTTCAGGAAAAAAGGATTTTTCAAGGAAAAGTTTGCCATATATTTTCACCTGATAAAGTCAAAACATTTTAGGAGCAAATCGTTAAAAGTGTTGGAGAAGTTATGGGTTCACCGATTTGTTGTCGTTTCAAATCTTCGCGCGTTTAGAATCATACACAGAATATTTCATCGCCCGCTTTTTTTTTTTTCCAATTTTCGAAAGGACTTCCCACCAATTCTCGCTCACTCGCTCGCTTTTTCTCATCGCTCTCGATTGACCGAGGACCCGGCAGAGACTCATAACACAGGTATAAATTAGTCCTTACCACAAGTTTGCCGGCAGCCGGTTTTACAACAGTATTGCCATCTTTCACACTGAGCATTCAGTAAACAGTCGATTTTACATCTTCCTGCTGACGGATGAACTGAGTTTGGACAGTGGTCTGGGAAATGAGAAGAAGGACTTTCATTCTCTTTTATTAGGAAAAGTTAGTTGGGCTGTTGCAATGGCCACGTTGAACCTCTCCTCTGAGGGAATTAAGTTCGTCCCCAGGATGCCATAGAAAGACTCAACGTGACGCTTACCGCAGGCAACCTAAGCTAACATGTTAGTGTAAAGCTATAGCTTGAACCTGGGGTGCCTGTATTCACATTCTGTACAAAGAGAACTTCCAGTACCGATCCACATAGTCAAAACTTTATATTAAAATAACTGCAAATATCAACATTTGGAGAAAATGACGTGACCAGTGACAACATTGTGACGGCAATCTTTTTTACATCAGTTCTACACGAAAGTGTCTTCTTGCCCAAACAAGAAAAAAAAAACTATGAACAGATTTGGAGTAATATTTCAAACAAAAGAATGGTTGGAGTGATTCGGTCGTCAGTGCACAAGCTTTGCTTTTCTTTTTGCGTAACAGGTATTCGCTAATACAAACAAGTACTTTAGCCTTCGTGTAATTTACGTCAGGAGTGGTCAATTAAGCTCCTTTAAACATTTATGCCGGTTGTTCGCTCGTAATACGGTCATCAGATAATGTCATTCACATTTAAATTACTTTAGTAGCTCTAGACATCTACACGCAATTGTTTGAAACTAAAATTCGTACAGTCTTCGATACTTAGAGGTCTGATAAACATATCGTTGAAAATGTTAACCATGAAAGAAGTCAAAGAACAGGCTTAAAATGTGCTTTTTCACCCAATGGTTTGTCTATATATGCCTGGCTGGTTTCATAATTTGTATCAACAGACATGGATCTTGAAGTCAATCCTTGACGATCGTTATTCATCTGACGTCATTCTCTTTCGTAAGGACACTGCAATTATATACAAACTATCATAACCACTGAGCCTTACTGAAGCTCTCAAAGCAGAACAATTGAAAAGGCGTCAAATTGACGTTACTTCAAGTGAGAAAAGTCATTTCAGACGCTTAAACATCGAAGAACACTGCAAAAGGAATTTTTTTTCACAAAAAGGAAAGCAATGCTTTATTTCATCCACAAAAACGCTTATGAGTACTTAAACGACAACAGTAACCGCTATTACAATATCGTCAAAGCTATGCCTTCTCATTTGTCTTTGATCACGAAATTCTACTAATCAGCCCACCACACATATGGATTAAGAAAAACAATATATAATTATATCAAACGTCGCTTTAATATAGTAATTTATAATCTGTCATTAGTTTCGGCGGTAAAATCAACCTTCAATACAGAACAAAAATCGTTCCTAAAGCTATTTTAAGAAAACAATAACGTTTCAGTAAAAATTTTTCAATGACCTATATTATCTTCCAGAAAAACAAATGCAAACGACCTATGAACTTCCGACGGAAGTCTTTTCTCAAAATTTTACCTCAGGAAAACAAAAATGTCTTTGATATATACAAAAAAGGATAAAAAGTCCCGCTCAAAAACCATTTTAGAAAACTGACATCAAGTGCACTTAACGGAAAGCTATGTCAAAACAACTGAATGCTTTTAACGGGTAACAGCCTATTTCCTGCGGGCTTAAACGACGTCAGAAGGAGTGAAAAGCTTGAACAGCGTATACGAAGGTGGCACGCGTTTTCATAGAAACTACTATACGAATGTGTAATTAGCATGTATTTCGTAGCCTAATTGTATTGATAATTTAGCTCGATTTTTTTTCATGCGTAGGAGCTCGTTATAGGAAGCTATATTTCCGATCAACAAACAAGTGATCATTTTGATTCAAAAACATCTCACAAATGACCGGTATTTCGGTGTAAAGTGGTAAATGCCTTGTCATTATGAACTACAGTCTTGAAATAAAATGGGCACTCACAAATTGACAATAACGAAACCAGACACTTAATAAAGTATCAAAAACCACTTCCATCAAATATACTGGCGCAGGAGTCTCTGTTAAGGCTTGATGATGAAACGATGGTTCAAATATCTACTGTGGCACACGTAATTACAGCTACTAAACAGAAAAATGTGATGCGGTAAATAAAAACATTTACTACAAACACGGAATTTGGATCAACACCGGCTTGATGTTAAATGGTTTCTCCGTGCGACAGTAAAAACCAATTTTGATGGTATCGAGAATTTCAGTCATACCTACATTACCGTTTCTAGATAAAAAACGTATAGAGGAGATGCTAAACAAGGAGAAAGCGATTTTCATGAGGGATTCTTAAAAAAGAACTTCAATCATATGAGAAAACCAAAAATGGCGATTCGCGTCTGCTACAATTTTCTTTTTCTGTTTCAGCAGATTTGAATGAAGATTTATATAAATCGTTGCGAGTCTCCTCCCGCTTGAGAATACTATGATGGGCTAGAGAAAGTCGTATTGATTATGTCAGACGATATTTGTCTTAAAACGATTAAACGACTTTGAATTAATTGAATTCTATAAATTCTCTTGATTGATCCTAAAAAGTGTACAACTGATCAGTTTTACCGACTCAGCACTCGTTCATTTTTTTCTGGCGTGCCGGCTGTCAGGTATACCAGCTCAAACAGGCTTTAATACTGTTTGCACACAGACAATGGATATGAACCTTACCTCGTCATTACCTCAAACACACGTTATTCACTTAAAGATGAAGTTTGAACTTTGGAAATAAAACTGCAAATACTTTTAAAATTTCTCTATCTGCTCTCACATTTCCTAAGTCCAAGTGACCTTTCTCTCGTTCTCTCTCTAAGGCTGTGTTCTCTTACACAGCGCTAATCTTTTGTTAGTACCATTTGCTATTCGCTAATAGTTATCTCAAGTAGTTCTTCTCAAGACTAAAATTTCCAAAGACATTCCTAAGACTACAAAAGGCACATCATTAGTGCTGCAGGTTTGGAATTCTTGTCACGACTAATTCTTGTCCGCCCAAAGTGTGGACACTTGGACCAAGTAGTGGTATACACATTTCGTGCATTCCTACCAACGAGCAAAACAATAGAATATGCCATGCCACGAAGATATACAAGTGAAAACGTTTACTTATTTGAACATTACTCTTGGATAACTTTCCCCGTAAATGTGGCGCAAATGAAATAACCAAAAAGTTAATACGCTGGGAATGAAAATAAAATACAGTTGGCTGAAGAAGAGAAGGCAACTCGCAAATATCGACGTTTGGAAGCTAAAACGAGCGGGAAAGAACGTCAGAAAAAATTCGTCAGAAAAAATTCGTCGGAAAAAAAACGAAATTCGAAACCTATTTGATCGTTAATTATCGGAGCCATCAATAAACGACGAAACAGAGACCACTTAGAAATATTTATAGCTGCTCTTTCATTTAATTTACGCAAAAACACCGCACAATGAAGTATTTACACAGCATGGCATCTAATATAATTTCCTGATGAGCCGACTAGCCACGTTAATATTGAACAGAACTTGATTGAGTCGTTAGGTGTAATCAATATGTTTCGAAATATCCTGCAATTATTAACAAGTTTTTGTTTATAAGCAATTCCCGTTGCTACAAATTAATATCATATCGGGCTACATCATTTCTCAGTGTTTTGAGCCGCGATGAATAATCATTTTAAGCACTTTGGTGAATAGTACTTTTTTTTTCTTCTTTTCTTTTTTTCCACCATTTATTGGCACAACGGAATTCAGTATAAAATACACCCTCCCAATAAATATACGCGTCAGATTTTAAACTTAAGTTCCAAAACAAATGTTTCTATCTGATGTTCTTGCCATGTAAATTTTGTCTGGTGATTCATTTTTTTATACCGAACTTGAACTTGGAAGCAATTAACTTCAGTCAGACATGTGTTTTTATTTCTACGTCAATCGCCTTTCATTTCTTGCTACTAATTCTAATTGTGGGAAACCAAGGCGTCCCTGCCCTTTGTCCAGTGAAATACTATAATCAAGAGCTAGTTTTACCCGCATAAACCATAATAGTGGTACGTTTAAATACTATAATCAAGAGCTAGTTTTACCCGCGTAAACCATAAAAAACATAAAACTTCTAAAACGAAATAAAGAAAACACAAGTTTGGGCCGACAAAATTCTATCCAACGGCTGAACACTGTCAGTTTTGGAAATACATGCAGTTTAGCTTGTTAAATATTGGTATTTTCGGCTGCTAGCAGAAAGAGCAAAATAAATTATCTTAGCAATTTGCGTACACCATTTTTAACCTTCATAAAGATGCTCTTTGAAAGTAATGTTAACTAAAATTTTCATACAGCTTTCAAACAAGACAACCCAATATTTTGGTACAACAAAGACACCTTTCAAGTTGTTTTGTAGAACGTCACTTTTATTTGTTACTTGTCACTTAATTGTTGTTTGTCTCGTCGCCAACCGGGATTTTAAAATTCTACTCACGTGCGCGAAGTAATTAGTTTCAGGCCATTACACTTTGGGCTGTCTGAGTCATCAGCTGCACGCGAAGGCATGGCGGGCACAAAATCTACTGCATGATTTATAATGAATATATTGGAAGCAATGTCTTGAATTTTCTGCCAAATAGTTGCAAAATAAAGGGATGAAACTGTAATGATCACGCATTAGAGGTGTTAATTGGCTCATCGTGTAGAGAGCTCATGGCCATTTCCATTGACCGACTACCGTTTAATTTAGGTCGTTAGATCCTCAAATTGTGCCTTTCCTAAGGAAACTATAACAAAAAGTGCCCTGACCTGTGAAAGAGCACTTTCAATTTGACATGCAGCGATTAATTTTAAGAATAATTACTTGAGCAAAGGAACACTTAGCATCTTTAGTTCGAGAAGCCAAAATTGTGTCTTTTGTCTTGTAAATGTTGCAACACAGAATTCTAGAATTGACGGGTCATTCATTTTGACCTGAGGTGTTGAAAACGTAATGTCTGGAAGGTATAATAAAATTTTGTTCATTTTCGGTTGATAACCAATGCTTAGACCTCGACGTTTGCCCTGAATATCCAGAGGCTGGTTGCTTGAAATGCACTTGAAATTGTTATAGCTGGACGCAAGCCAGGATAATGTGCTCGGTTATTTGACGTTGAGACTGGGAAAAAATCCGCGCAGAATGAATTTAAAACGCCAACAAGGTCCGAGACTACCTCCGTTTGGCCTCACCTAGCTTTTACTACTTCCCAACAGAAACGCTCTTTAGTTGTGCATGTACGATCGTTCTTGGTAAAAGACTTGAAAAAAAAAACAAAAAAAACCAGTAGTCATAAAAGACGACATTTTTTACTTCGCAATATTTCACTCGGCCGGGAAGTTTATCAGTAGGACTCGACTATTCCCCTTAAAAAAAACTTTAATTTTCATTTCGTATACGTTGTGCATTTGGTTCAGTATTTCAACATTTAAAAAAGATTAGCCAAACCGAGTTTTTTCGCAAGTGGAATGTAGCTAATTAGTCCGGCACATGTACAGAAAGCTATAACACTACTGGAAAGGCCATGAATAATTGAAACTTTTTCAGAATATAGTTACATAACGGCGGGAGACTGCAAGCACGTACTAGATGCGATAAGAAATACCACCAAACCTCAGTCTGCCATAACTAGGTTATAAAGGGTGTCTGTGATTCCTTATTTTTTTATCTTTTACATTTTTTTTTAAATTTTAATATCGTACTATCGTGCACGAACAAGAATTGAACATGGAAAACGTTATAAGTTTGAATAGCACTGACTATACATGTGTCAGTATGCCTTCTGATGACAGGGCCAATTCCCAATCGCTATGTGGCAAAACTAGGCACGTTTAGCTGGTGTCGTTTTAATTATCAAACCATATCGTTGATTTACTTTTCAACTTTAATACTATATATAACACATGCCTGATAAGATATAGTTCTGATTAGGTTGTTTCTTTCACACGAATCTAAGAAAGTTCTAAACTCCTGCGCGAAATGAATCCAGCATTTATCTCGGCTGCCTCAGGATAATACGCGAATTTTGGCCCAATTTGTATCAAACGGGTAAAACTGGTTCTCGGCAACAAAATACTAAGACATACATACTTTCATTCAGATCTTCACATTTTAGTCTTTTGTTGAAATAAGTCTTGGGATTATCAGAAGACAGATAAGGATCGATATTGTATTCAGGAGAAAAATATCATCGCAATGAAGACGATTGTATCATGTCGTTTCCGAGAGGATTTTGAAAAGAATCTCCTTAAGAGGAGGAGATGAAATTAACTGCGGATTTTGCGTTAAGATTCTTACATTTTTTGGATACTCTTGAAAGTTTCATTCTCTTCTTAAATTTTTTTGGTGTTGTCAGTGAGTTAAAAAAGTTTCTGGAAAAATCCGTATCTTGTGCACCTACGCATTGTAATAAAGGAAATGTTATCGTCGACTTCCGCGGGAAGGAGAGATTTTTGTCGCATTGCTCTGCTCGGAAGCCACAGCAATTACTAAATTTGACAGAAATTTGTCAGTTTGGATCGTGTTCGCCATTCTTGAAATTTGTTATCAAATGATTCTTGAGCAATATTTAGCACATAGCACAGAGTGAAACTAATCGAAAACAGAGTAACGACGGAGAGACGCAATTTCTACTCTCTTTGAGTGAGCCTTTATCATCAAACGTCCTAAGCACTTCTGAAATTCAAATTGTGTAAAAAGGAAACTGCTACAGGGTGTGCAGATACTCAACTGGTTTCAGTTGTTCTGACTGAGGTATTGACGAGATTTTTGAGATATCCGGTTTCCTTAAGTAATTCGTTTCGCATCAATGCCATTACAGATTTCCTGGAGGGAGTTTTTTAGGCAATCAAATGTATTGGCCTGCGTAACTCGAATTAACACTCGTTGTAACCTACTCCAAAAACAGCCAACGCAAAATCACGGTTAAGCTACAATATACGTTAACTACCATGGGAGAGATATCATTTTAGAGAAGTGCACGAAAATATAGAATTAACAAGGTATGCAGAGTCTTTAGAGCCATTTACTGAGGGCAATATGGGGCCTCGTGTAATGAGAACATGCAGTTCGGAAAATAAAATTTCTATTTAAAAACTATTGCAATTAAATCTGCTCGAGCAGGAGTTTTAAATTTTTGATTTCATAAAAAAACGTAATGTTCAACACTGAGTAATGGAGCGTGAATTGGACTTGAGAGAAGTCATTCGCAAGTTAAACACATCGAAATATTCCGGTCTGGCTCGCGTGTATGTTTGTTTTTCTTCAGAACAAATCCAAGGAAACGAAACTTTGCGGGAAACATGCATAGTTGCGTGTAAAGGCAAAAAACTTCTTGTTTTCTCACCGAAGTCTATTTTATCTTTGAATTCACTTGTTCTGTTGTCACCAAAAACAAAAGATTTTCAGTGGTTATTTCATTCTAAAGTTGACGATGTGTCGCGTGTACTTAGCGCTTTATAATCGATTCAATTCAGCTCGAGGCAAATTACGGCACTGCGTAATTAAAAATGAAGGAAAATACTGGAGCATTGAAGTGACAAATAGCATTCAATGAAATGAAATGAGGCAAGGGGTCTAAAGCATTGGCAAACATCATGTGCTAGCAATATATTCCAAACACTACTTGAAACACGCACAGTAACGACAGAAACACTTCACACAAAGGAGCACCAGTTAGCAAATAATTTGCACAAGAAATTTCTTTGTGAATAAAATTTCACATAAAACGTCTTATAGCCAAAGGGAATAAGAAAGCGCCCAAACAAAGTGATGGATTTTATTTTTTTTACCCTTTTCCAAGTATGACGAATTTGATATCGTACCCACAACACTATATGAATGAAATAGTGTTCCAGAGAAGTTTACGCTGGCTTAGGCACAAAAAGACAGAGGTTTTACAAATGGCAGACGGTGTATAAGTTAAGTGAACCATTTAACCTGAAAGTAAATAGTTCCTTGCTATCGTGAGCCACTTCAAAGTGAGTCCACGCTTGTAAATGAAATCTTGACAAATGTAAACATAAGTTGTAAGACCTACTTGCACTGTTGCGCTTAAGTCTAAAGAAGCGTTTTAGTCCGAAATGAACGGACCATAAATGGTCTGGTCTTAACGTCGAAGTTGAATTGTCTTGCGAAATAACACGTCATGCTCTCAATCGTTGTACGCTGTAATTATGATTACAAATGTTACACGGTTGAAACAAGGATTTCTTTTGCACTTACCCACTCCGCAGACAATGATGACCAAAAAGAAAAGGCTCTGTTGATTTTTTATGAAATAAACATCATCGTTAAAATATCTTTAATCATCTTTCCAAAGTAACAATGTCTGACAGGCGTGAGACTAAGGAAAAACTCACCTGAAGAAGCACATAAATCATTCTACAGCAGACCTGCATTTTTGCAACAGAAATTCTCCGTGTGTAGTCACTAGTGATATTGCTTCTCCGCGTTGATTGTTTTAACGTAAAATTAGCTACCAACTCGTTGGACACGAATCTGATGAGCTCTTTTTAGCCTGCAGTTCCGATTGACTGAGCGGACTTGCAAGTTGCAGAAGAATAAACGCTGAGAGAGCATATTTATACACTATAAATAGCCATTGTAGATGAATTTCTTTGCAGCCAATGAGATGGCATCCTTTCCCTTTAAGCAGGTGTATTTGATATATTCCAATTAATTACTGCACTTTGAGATCTAATTTATCTCTCCAGTAAATATTAATCAGTCCAGAAACATGTCGAATATTTTTACGTCTGGATTCTTCACGTCGCAGGACATTACAAGACATTTTTAAAAGCCGCATGTGGTAGTTTGGAGTTAACACCGGGCGATGAGGAGTTTTAAAGTGTCATTTGGCTCATTTGTATAAGTTATGTAAAATGTATCATTGAGACACCAGCTACAGCAACAAAATTGTCCTTATCACTGACAGCGCTATATTAATAACTCAATCGAGACAGGGCGTGTGCGCGTATATTTCGCGTGTACGAATACTCTTGTGAGTGGGTACAACATACACTTCTAAGTGAATTTACAACTTTCCACAGCCGGACGTCACTTGAAAATTGTTTTATACGCTCTGCGTGAGTTAAAGCAAAAATTCTTTTCTAGAGGCAGCCATACCTTTTCAACAGACCTGGTAAATGTGGTCAAACACACCGGCGCTATCCGGCGCATTTATTATCCAATTCTTTTGGGAGTCGCCGCACAAAATCGTTTGTCTCAATTGAACAACACACAAACGGTTCATCAGACAGGCAGGCCACAAATCTAAAATGAGCGAACCACATTTTCTTCATTAGAGTTCGGCTTTAAATAAAGACTTGAGAATATTCACATGGCATTCATCCAATGTATTTACATTTTCATACACCGCGATCCAGGCCAAAATAATGACTTATTCAGAAGCGGTTTATATACTATCACTCCAAAGGAGTTTCTTCTTCGCTTAAAATGTTCGGTTTTGTAATTTCGCCAAAAAATACGCTAGAGAACGGGAATTGTTTCAATGTTGCGACACTCCCAATTCGCTCTTTCTGTAAGATTTCTTTTGTCTAAGGCAGGTTGCCGCAGTAAAATAAATCGTATCATTGGATATATTTTGCTTGGCATCATGCCCGCTGAGCTACACAAACTTAATGGTTCTGGTGTTTAACAATTACGTGGTTCGTCTTTATCTAAAACCTTGTCGATCAAGACCGACAGCAATTATTCTCGTTGAACAAATGTTCAACATGAAAAAGTTAATTTTTTTATCACGGAGAAATCTCGTTTTCTTTTCTTTCTTTCTTTCGTCTTTTCTACTGAAAGTTTTTTAACAAATATCCGTCCTGGTATAGCATTAGAATGCAACATCTCAGTTTATTTTTTCTTCTTTTTGTAAATCAAATAGTTCAATTTTGAATTTTTAGTTCTGGTTAGTTTCCTTTCGGCTTTCCTTGGACATACATAACCGAATATCATCTTCAATTGATTTCGAAACCATAGCTAAACTCGCCAAAAAGAATATTCAATTTTCGTTTGCACATAAGCAAAAGCTTTCCTTGTATCAATATTCCCCGTAATTGGAATCTTGGAAGTAATAACACTTAATGCCTGTTATAAAACGTGACCGATGAAAATTTTCATACTGGAGAATTTACTGCAGAGATTATCCCTTTCTGCTTTTTTATGCTATTATTGTGATTATTATGATTTTCATTATCTTTATTATCACATATTAGTAGCAAAACTGAAATGAAAGAATTGCGAGGTCGGCTCGAGGAGGCGAAAATTAGTGGCCATTCCAGTCTTGACTAGAAAGTCACGCAACGCTCCACTCATTGCGTTACATCATAGAAGGTTATAAAACGAGACTGCGGCCATCTTAAAGCAGCTAATTGAAAATCGTGGTCAAAAGTAATATTTACCAAATATTAAGTGAATAGGGGAAAAGAATAAACTAGATTCAGAACAAATGTAATTAGACTTGACTCTCGTATCTTTTTTTTTTTTTTTCAATTTTGATATATTTTTGTATACGCAAGTGATCAGCGAAGTGCAATATGAGCGGCGTAGTCAGTAGTATGACGCCGTCTCGTCGGATGGCTAACGAGTTACTTTAGGCAATGAAACTTGTATTAAGTGAAAACCCACGGGAACCTTGCTCTGGCCTGTTTCATGCAGACTGTGATAATTACAACTTAATACAGGGTATTCGTTCGACACAAAGTGTCTGCTAAGTACAAAGTCTCCGCCTTAGACATGTTCCTCTAAATTTTCCGATGATTATTCCGTCACATTTTCGGTCTCTTATTGAGTCTGACTTACATGGATCTTGAACTGACCATTTATTTAAGTGAACTGTCCTAAGCCTTTTTTGCTCTGTTAGGCGCTATAGCGCATTTCTATGAAGAAATTCTCTACTGCAAATATAGTTTAAAACAAATTGGTTGTAAAAGGCTTGGGTCAATTTTAGCAGGCGGCATTTCCCACACACAGCTTTGCCGCTCATCGCACACAAAACCGCCAGCTACAAAAGCTACTGACTCAATTACCGCCGCACAACTTTTGATAACGTGAACTACACTCAGCTTTTTAAAATATGTAAGTTTCTTAATATACCTCTTAAGGAGTCAGCTTAATACAAGTTTTGGCCACTTAAGGGCGCAATTTAAGTGTCTGCGTCCATCCATGGGAGCTATTCGATGAATGCAAGTTCATTTTATAATAAACATAGGAAGAAAAGGTTAGGATCTTGGCTAATATCGGCCTAATACAGGGTGTTTGCCTAAATACATGGCTCACCTGAAACAGATTTGACTGTTCGAGATAACCTCGTGCGCCTCTTGGTTTTACAACATCAAGCATGCGTGAAGTGCTTGACACAGTAGCAGAGGAAGAAATAATAAAAACAAAACCTTCTAAAATTATTTTTGCAAAATTTGAGCTTTAAGACAAACCAAATAACTACATATATATTGTATAATATCACACAGTGATACAAAGCATGCTAACCACATAAACCGGCTAGCTTTCTGCAAATAATAAAATGGAGTTGACCCCATTAAACGACACTCCGGAATCCGGACTAAGGTCGGAATCTTAGCAGGGATCACGAGTATCTCAGCCATTCCGATCGAGCATTTTTTATCCAGGCTATCTACTGTCTCCCAGTCTCCCTCCTTCGTGCACCCTTCCTATTTCGTTTGCGGTGTTTGGGCGCTGTTACGGTTTGAGCAGCGAAGCTAGGTTAAGCTTTGGGGACTGCTTGTGGTTTTATGTGCACTTTGAAGCATTGAATTGTCGCAGGTTCACCACTCGTTTGAGCGGCTCTGCCACCCAACGTGCGCTTAAAAGCGCTCACAAACCGCCGACCGCGCAAACAGCAATCTTATTTTAAAGACGTCCTAAAATTTCCCCTGATACGAGCTTACAAATAAATGTTGACGCGCCGCCAACCGATGTTGAGCGTAAAAAGTTACTCAATGAACGATCAGTTGAACACCACATACTCTACTGGGAGATATTTTCTCTATATGCAGTCGAAACAACCAGTTTAGTTCAGGTTCAATAAAATCCACTAACTATATTTAGTTTTGATCTACCTTCTTGCGGTCGCTGAAGCTTATGCTGTCTCAAGGGTTTTCCGTTATCTCGACCACTTCTTTGACGATTATCCGCCTCACAAAAAGTTCACAAACGGTCAACCTATGTATTGCACATAAGGTGACTTTTCGTCCTGACAGGAAAAGTTGTGTTAAATTTACAATGCCTCATCAAGAGCTTTGTAACCGCGCACAGGTGGGTAAAATGGCGGCAGCCTAAATGAAGGTAATTGTGAATGAAACATTCTCACAATTTTCGTGAACTTGTTCGCTTTCAGACGTGTATTATGCTGTTTGATTAAAATCAAAAGAGAATAACCCAAGATCTCCTATTTTTTTACCTGAATTGTTTTGAAATATTGAAAAACATCTTCATTGAAGATACTGTACTGCAGTGTGCAGTCTGTTTAATCTGCATCTGAAGAGTAGGTAAAGCTGTAAAGCCATATATGAAAGACAAGTGACCGTAGCTTCGTTGGCATGCCAAGCTGAAATGTTTTTTCCAAAGCATTAGGTTTTGAGAAATTTAATTAAACACAGTATTTTTTTGTTTCAGTTCCGAGCATGCGGACATCGAAACATCATTGTAAAATGCGATGAAAGCTCTTCAAAGTCGAATCTTGTTCAGTATGTCGACCCCTAAGATGATTTTGACAGACAAAAAGTACTTCTATACAGCAGAGGATTTCCATTGGTCCAAACTGTGGTCGGGTACCGGGAAGGAGACTTTAGAGCTGAGCAAGGTGAAGTTTACACTCATAGTTGATTTGTTGTTACTTGTCCTAATTAGAAATTGAAATTCGATAATGTATTTTCTCAAGTATGAGTTGTGATTGTTTACTGTAGTTTGATAAAGAGCTTCAGGAATGCTGGGATGCTGCATTAGAGGCTGGTTCATTTGCTTACAAACTGCATCATGTGGAAGGCAGAATTGTACCTGGTAAATATGGAGTATTTGTCCAGGTAAACACTCTACCGGATACATGTTCTACTAATTTATGAAAAACAGCATACTGTAGGGAAAGCACCTCTTAATGTATTCACTCCCAAGATCCCAATAGTCATTCTCACTATCCATCACACAGCTTGTATAATTTGAGTGATGAGAATTGATGTTGGATCAGATAATAATCCCTCACAATATTTTCTTCCTTCTTGTTTGCGTAATATCATACTGTAAAGAGAAATTGCCTTGATCACTCTTAGGAGTGAAAGGCTGAAAATGTATTGTAATTTCTTTCCCTGATAATAAATTTTCATTTTCAAATTCAAAATGAAAATAAGCAGGGTAAATTCTCATTGTTGTCAAATATGATCATGTTCCAATAGTAGATGGTTGTATTGTCAAGTAACAGTTTGGATAAGTGAATACATGTCCATGTACATACTACAAAGCTTTTATTTAAGAACTAGAACATCTCTGAAGGAAGGATTGTTGGAGAGAGATTTTAACTGGTAGTAATGTAATGTTATATTTGCTCTTTTAGTTGAATGAGATGAGATTTAACAAGAGAAGAAAACCTGAAACAATAAACAGTATCTCTCAACCTTTTAATCACGACAAATTCAACTTCACAAAAGTACACAGAAAAGAGGTAAATGTGTACTTTATTGTCTACCTATAAAAGCATATGTATATAGGTCACATGATTTTGAGTGCAATTTGAAATTAATAGACACAAGTAAACTTTCTGAAGACAACAAAATTGAATGAGCCTTAAGTACAACTGCAATTTGTAATCTTTATAAATTTTGCAGGTGCTTATGTACACCAAATTGCAGGAGATTTCAAATTGTTACTTAAGTTGTTAATAATTTACATGAAAAAGCATCTTAGAAAGTCAAGACAGAAAAAATGTTGACAGTGGGCACTATTTGTAATTTGGACTTGTGAAACAAGTTTGCACTTGTGTTACATGATAGATGTGCTCGTTTTCAGCCAATCAGACATGCATAATTTTTTTTTTTTTATGTTTATTATTATATAAGGTAACTGTTTGGCAACTTAGTGTTGAATCCTAAATTGTAATTTTATATACATGTAGGTATTGTTTGCACTTTGTCCAGAGGACTTTCCAAGAGAAACTACAACAGAAGATGAACAACATCCTATGATAATAAATGTGAGTCCTTTGGAGTATGGTCATTGTCTGTTGATCCCAAGTGTCTGGTCGTGTCTACCACAGGTATTGTACTATAAATTCTGCTGATCTGGAATTTTTTTGTTGTGGTTTGAGAACTTTTATGTGAATGAGACTTTTGTCTCAGGTCAGATAATGTCAGTAAATAAAAGAAATACTGTAAATTAAAGAAAATAATGTGGTTGTTCAATAAATCTCTTTTTGGCAATAAAGGATGAATATCAAATACTGCAGCATATGTGGAAAGTACATGTGCATAATCTTTTGACACTGTATTGCCTATAGAAAATGTACCTGTATACTGGATTTGATCTGTGCATTCATGAGCCTTTCAGCTGGTATTGAGTTAAGCAGTAGAGAGATTGGACAGAGTGATAAACAATGTAACATCAGTAGCCTCCTCACACTATTTTCATTTCTTTTTATCAGCATTGCTCAGGTGTCAGCGGTTTTAATGCACCATTTGATTGCTGTCTAGCCAATCATTATTTTTCTGTATGATGATCCAAATTTTTCGTAAACACAGGTGCTCACTGAGGATGCATTGCTACTTGCTCTTGAGATATCCATGCTTAGTAATCACAGGTACATGGAAATTGATTCACTTTACACACATCTTCTAGTAAAATTGTATTAGTTTTTACAATAGGGAGTTCAACAGAAACAATGATGGTGACGCTCTGGACAATGTCTGTTAAAAAACTGAACTTATATTTTACTTATGAATCTCATGATACAGTCATTTAGCTTGTTTCTCACAGTCAAAACTATTTGGAAACTGAATACAGAACACAGCGTTAACTAAGAAATAGAAATTCAAATAATAGTCCTTGTTGTCCACATTCTCCTGACAAAACAAATTTTGAACATTTCACATTGTTGTTTTGCAGAGGAGGCAAAGAAATTACAAAGATTTATAATGCACATGCACAGCCATTGCTCTGCTCTTTAAGATTTTTGTTTAGTGATGTTCCCATTGCTGTTGCCGTCATGGTTTTCTGTAACTCCCTTATACCTCATTGTTCCCTTGTGCTTTTTAACACTTTACTGTCGCTAGTAGAGAGCAAGATCAAATCCATCTCATTGAGATTAAGTTGTAAGAGAGGAATGCCTACATGTACAGTGTAGGAGTGAGAAAATGTAGAAAGAAAGACAGTACTTGTGTTTCTGTGGTGTTGACCTTAATACAGGAGCACATGTAGGTTGTTTCATGGCTCAGTTGTGTTGTCAGTCCACTTTGTTCACTCCACTTTGTGCCAGGGAGAGTTGGCTAGAAAATAACCCCTCCCCTCCCCCCCATTAACTCTCCTTATGTTTCACGATGAAATAACCTTTTGTGCTCTCATGATTGAATTGCCATCTTTTCATTTACCTGCAAAGTTGCTGAGATTCTATGCTTCAACGATCTTCCCTTAGCACATTGTGTGCAGGAGGACTGGAACTAGTTTGAGCTCTCCCTGCATTTACATACACTCAGGCTCCAAGTTCTATTTTTCAAAAAGTCGCCTTTTAGTGACCTTCAATTGTAGAAAAATCAACAATTAGTGACCTGTGTCAAAATTTTAGTTGCCAATTATATTTTTCACTCACCATGGTGTACAAAATGCTCACAGCTTGGAGCACAGATACTCTGTAGAAACAAAAGCATTAATGTGTCATGCACATACACATAGTCTGAATAATTTGACAAAGGTAAAAAAAAACTTGCACTTAATCGTATCTATACTTTGCAGATCATTGATTCAGTCTCATTGCATAAATCTGTCTTCATTGCAGAGGATTTCATGTTGGATTTAACAGTCTGTGTGCACATGCATCAGTAAATCATTTACATTTCCATACCTGGTACAGTGAACACCCATCCTATCTTGAAACAGCTGTAAGTCAATATAGCACTATAACAGTATAACTTATCAACGAAAAAAAAAAGACACTCCTGTGAGAGACATTTTGGCTTGAGGGGAAGAAACAGGACTACAGATTGGGAGTCTGGGTCGAGTTTTGTAATATTTGTGTTTTTGCGCGAGTCTGGGCCTAAGTCCCTCTCTCCAACCTCTGGGATTGTTGGAGAGCATTTCGATTGAAGGTCGGAAAACCAAGAACAGCCAATCAGAGGAATGGAAAATATATCAAGGAGCCAATGAGCTCGCAATTTAAAAACAAATAAGCAGCTCGAAGCGCGGGAAAGCATTTAGTTTAACAGGTGGAAAATAATTATTTTATTATTCTCTCGTCTCGTTAAACTTTTTTACTATACTACTTTACTATCTCGCGATGGTTCCCCCAAGTGTCTGGGTCATTTTCAAGAAGTCTCGCTGACCAAGTAGTTGTACCGCGTAATTGGTTGCTTCTCTTTCTCAGAACATGTACGCGTTCTAAGGGGGGCCTCTTGTAAAAAGAGAGATTTTTTTAGGGGTGTTGCATGTAGGCTATAGGACCCTCGTTCAGTTTTAAATACGTAATCATTAACAATTACTTCTGATAATTTTCCCTCTAATTTTGACCTATATTTAGTACCTGTTTACAAAAATATCGCTAGGAGTATTAGTTTTGATCATGATGGTTTTGTTGTGGTAAACAGGATGTCAGCCTTGTTTCCGGAAACGTTTTCGAAGTCATGGATTATCCAACAACGGCGTTCGTCTTTGAGCTGGCCCCAGGGACTGATGTGGGCCTTGTTGCACGGTAAGTAATTGAAGATGACGAACATATAACGCTGTTTGAGCAAAGAAATCACTTGTAGATTGGTTTCCAGTCACGATTGATGCATATCTCTAAACGAAAAGTAACTACTTGAAATCAAATTTCAGTTAGAGCAGCATTCTCCCGTCGAAATATCTTGCGAGATAATTTTTATCGATTAAGTTCACAATGACTGGAAAACAAAAAGTAAAATGCTGAGTATAGCCGCTGTATTACTGAGTGTTATAGCGGGAGCTTACGGTACACTGTTGTATCAAACAATTTGTCCGTGCATGAATGACGGTTCCCGAATTCAACTAATAAAATGATTGGCTGGCTCACGATGTGGTCAGTCTACAAGTCTTTTTGCTCCAACGGATGTAGATTTCACCAAACGAGATACTCTTAACTGGTTATAAGTCTGAAATGTACCAATGGTGGATAAACAACTTTGTGGCGAAACAACTCGGATATTTACTTTGAATTCCGTGTAAATGCACAGATGAATGTTACAAGGGACTGTTTAATTTCCAGATTTTTACACTTTTCACTGTTATCTTATTTCGAACCCACAGCACAATACACAAAGTTTCGTCATATTTTATTCAAGAGGAGGTTGCACATAACCTGCATATAATTCGAGGCGCAAGATGCCGTCCTAGCAATCAAAGGAATGGAATTACGCAAGGCGACCGCGATGTGTGTTCAGTTCTCAGAGTATTCCTCTGGCCAAGGAACCCTGTCCATGGTGAGACAAGTCTCGAAGATGTGACATTAATAGTATTATAAAAAAAGAAAGGTAGTGAAACTTTAAGTTGGGCCCATTCAAGTGACGTTACTTTGTATTATTGTCAAGTTAAACTGATTTTGCTGGTCAAAATGGTTCTAACTCTGTTGTTTTTTGCGAACCCCTAGTATAAAACCTTTCATGTAAACGCCATTTGGTTATGCATAAAAGTTGATTAAGGCATCAATGTGTCGCAAACCACCCATTAAAATTTATATGAAAAGCTTTGAGCGGTTTTTGTATCTAAGTGTTTTCAAATTTCTGGCTTCCCAACTTTCTTTAGTTAATTGTTGATGTTTCTTTACCAGGTGCAAAGGAATTGAGTTCTTACGAGTCTGAAAAGCGACCCATCGCTGTCTACGAGTTTGCTGGTTCTTTGGCAATAGAAAGTAACGAATTCAATTTGTACATGCACAATTAATGTAATTATATTTTGGGGCACGTATTTTTCAGCCGAATTGCTACCAGGCAACACAACGTACAGTGTTGCTTCTGATTTTACCTACTGAGGCGCGGGAAAATTAACGCGGGTAACCAAGTTGTGATTGGTTTTAAATTTTTATTTTTTAATCTGATTGGGTAGAAAGTAACACGAGTTCTCGGGGACAGTTACAGAACGAACTAAAACAAAACTAGAACGATCCTGTCACACAAACTTGTTCTTTACTGATATCTTATTATTTCCTTTTCCAGCAAGGAAAACCTACGAATCATTTACCGAAGAGAAGTTTGTGGAATACATGGCACGAGCAACTTTACCAGAGGAAGAGTTTATCAGGCACAGAGAGGCGATACGAGAATTATTGCACACATAGTAGCTTAATCATTGTTTGCTGATTGTTAAAATTAAATCTTGGGCCTTGTAAATTCTATCTGTATAATTGTAAATAATAAAATGACTTATTTTATTATCCGGAAAAAAACAACGACTTTTCAATGACTTATTGGGTATTATACATGTAGCTTGTACGGTCCACACACGAAGGGTGGAATTTCGAGGGTGAAGCCCAATCATTCAAGATGATAACAGGGTAATTTAGTATCATCAACTGAGTTGATAACGTAAATTGGCCACCGTGAAGAGTTTTTAAGCTGACATTTCCAGCGTTAGCCCTTCGTCAGAGCGAATGAAACGCTTAACGGTGGCCAAATTACGTCATCAACTCAGTTGATAATACTAAATTACCCTGTTATACTCTCCCACCGACGAAGCAACACAGTTTCTTTAGAAACTTACCCCCTTTACTCATTCAAGATGATATTGAATTCCCAAGCAGTATCTATTTAAGCTTACTAGCAGACTGCAATTATTAGCGCTTTGGCACGGGCGTTCCCTCGCCCGCGAGAAAGTATGGGGCCTAACCAGCTAACACGCTTAACGCTCGCTTCGTCCTTGGCGCTCAAATTTAATCAACTATCTCCTTTTCTTCCTCCACAGGCAAACCACACTATGTGTTCGTGGTTACTAATAGTTTTCATGAGACGAACAGAATCTATGAGGGTTTTGAGTAAAGTTCTGAAAATTGCCGATCTGACTGTCATCCCGTGGTCTGAATATCTCAGTAAAATTAAATGAAGTGTTAATCGACGCATTCGTGGTATTTTTTTCGTCTTCATGGGCCGTTTGAAGCGTCTTTTTACGAAATTACTTTTAGCCGGAGGCCGTTTCTGCTCGAAACGGTTACTTCGTTTTGTGCGACACCCGGTTTTGCTCAACATTCACGAATTAGTAAACAAACCAGTTTGGCCTTAGGAACCAGGCAGCGTAGCCATGAATATTATCGATATTTGCATTCGAATTTATGAGAAACTATGCGGTGAAACGAATTGTTGATGTAGTTAAAAGGTTAGTAGATTTCTCTTCTTACCTCGCCAGAGTATTTATTTTAATCCTGTCTGGTTTTGATAGGGTTGCATTGCCTCACGATTCACTCGTAAGACTTCGAAAAGTTGTACAGTTTCCTATTCTATAACTTGTGCCCTTGATTTCGACGTGGACTTTAAACCATAACAATTTGATACGTGTTCAGTGTTACATAATATCGATCGCCGGCAAGTTTTAAATTAAATAAATTTGATCTAAGATACAGAAAATTTGACTATTTCAACCAAATATTCTCCTTGCGTGAGGATTAATACAGGTGTGACAATGAATTTTTTTTATTTAAATCAAGTTTCTTTGTGAAGTACGTTGAGTTATAGCACATTTAGGCTTACAGCTGTGCATTCTGTAGTATGATTTTCAATTGGTACGATGAATGAAACAACGAATTCTCATTGTCTAACTGGGTTCGAAGAGAAAATTATGAAAAACTGGTCAGTTTGGGTTAGATATAACGGTGGGTGAAAATATGTGAATTGGTGTTATGTTGTACCCAGGTTGATTTGATTTTAAGCAATCAATTGTCTAATGTTTCACATCTGGTTCTTTGGTGCAATATATTCCTTCCAAAATATGTGTTTTATTAACCCTCTCTCTCCTAAGATCTTATTAGTAATTCTCCTTACTGCCTGCTATACAATTATTGTGATGTTAGCTCTGAGAATTTGGTTTTGGATCAACAAATAATCTCCTAATTGATATTTGTCTTTATTCTCATCACTTGTCTGCTGGATATTGTACTGATATTGTAAGGAGAAGTTATGTCCTGGTCACTTGTGGGTATTGAGCAAAAGGTGGGAAATCACCTAAGGAGGTTTATAAATCAATCATTTATTCTACTGTTTTCAAAGAATGCACAACAAAAAACTGCAAGCACCAGTCTAGCATTAAAATTGGGCAGCCATAACAAATAAACATGCACATGAAGAATGTGGACATAGAAAATTAACTTGATGTCACACTGTAAGATATGAAAAAAAAAATGTAGTGCTTTTAAAATCTCCTGAAATTTCATCAGGTTTTAGTCAGGAGTTAGGATTCTTATTATTGTTATTATTTTTCTAGACTTTCCTTCAATCAAGTTGGCAAATATTGAGTTTATAACTTTTATTGATATTCTAGAAGAGCTGTACTGTGCTGTAGAGCTGTGAATCCAAACTTTATGTCTGTATCAAGTACTCAGGTTTGTTCATCAGAACAACAATTCAGCTACACTGGAAAGGACTTCCACTGGCCTTGCCGTAATCATAATTGTGACGAAATACAAAATGAGCCCACAATAAGCAAGGTAAGGTCATATAAAAAATTATACATGTGTTTGCCAAACTGCTAGGGCCCATCTGCCATGTGATAGAGATCTCCATATGTATTTCATTTCTCTAGTTATGTTCAACTTGATAGAGCTTGCATTGAGTTGTTAGTTGGTTTTCTAGTTTGATGAGGAGCTACAAAAAAGCTGGAATGCAGCTGTGAATGCAGGTTATTTTACCTACAAATTGGATCATACAGAAGGAAGGATTGCACTTGGAAAATATCATTTGTATGTCCAGGTATTTCAACAGATGAATGCAATTACTTCTAGAATACATATACATGATTTTATTTCCAAACAGGACAAACTGAAATACTGGTATCTGCCTCTGATAGCAAAAAGTTTTGAGTTCTGGATTTCAAAAGAGTGCTTCAGCAGTAGAATGTACTGACAAGTAACGGTGATCATGTGTTCAGTACACTCTTAACCCTTTAACCCCCAGAAGTGATAAACATGTAACTTCTCACTATAATACCAATACATTATCCAGCAAGCAGATAATAAGAATATTCAAACTTATCAGGTTGAAGTTGTTATCTTGATCTAACACCAAATTCTTGCAGCTATTTTACAAGGAAATGTATAGCAGCTAGAGAGGAGAATTAACAATCAGATCCTTGGGAGTTAAAGGGTTAAACAAAATTTTCAGTGTCCTGCTTGCAAATTTTAAAGAATGTAGGTGTTAGAAGAAGTGTTATCCCTTTTACTCCCATGAGTGACCAAGACAGAATTTCTCCTTACAATATCAATACAATATCGACCAGATAAGTGATGAGAATAAAGAAAAACATCAATTTGGGGATAATAAGTCAATCCATTACTAAATTCTCAGAACTAATATTATAAGAATTGTTTGGTTGACAGTAAGGAGAATTATAAATTTGATCTGGGTGCGAAAGGGTTAACTGTAATTGTGTGATAATAAACCAACAGAAAAAAATGATGTGTAGGTATGGTTTGACAAAAAAAAGATGTTTGCTAATGTGACAGTAAGTTCTGAAGCCAAAAATTGTGGAGACCAAAAAATGTCTTTTTTACACTTGAACTCAATTCAATTTTATTTGTTAGCAATACAATATTATCACAGACCTAGGTGACCCGCAATTAGCAAGCTATTCTAGGCGGGCCACCCTTCTAAAACAAGTGCTGTCTCTGCTAAGGATCACATACCGATACAATTAAACAAAGATAATCATTAATAAAAATACAATTGTTAAATAAAATAAAATAAAATTAAGTCCGTTGAATAATTAAATAATCAATTGCAAAGTTATCAAGATATATAATACAATTGAAACAAGACTTAAACGAAGAGTTACTTTATCAAGAGATATTTACAAATTTCAGAGCAGCGTATATCAACATTCATCTCCTCAATTTCCAAAAGTTTTAACAGGCGATTTTTAAGTTCACGCTTAAACGGGGTTCTGTTTTTAATACGAAGTTCTTTTGGGATGCTATTCCACAATCTTACACCTATTCTAGCAAAAAGAAATAAAAGTTGGTTAGTTCTAGACGCTTTAACGTACAGATTAGCCGTTGCTGAGAATCTTGTGAAATGGTGATGAACCTGCTCGGAGTGGATAAAGAGCATAGAAATATTAGACGGGGCACGGTGATTATCAATGTCATGCATCAAAGAGGAAACCAAATGAGAATAGAGCATAGTTATTGGTAAGATTCTGGAGTTAACAAATAGCGGGGCACTATGAGATTTGCTATCCGCAAAATACATTAGTCGTAGAGCACGTTTTTGTAAAATGAGAACCTTATTTAAATGAGTGTTAGCAGCTTGTCCCCAGGCAATAAGACCATAAGAGATATAGGGTTCAATTAAGGAGCGGTAGATGTTAAGAAGTGTGGCAAATGGGACAAGATGTCTTAACCTGGCAATTATACCAATTCCTTTACTAACTTTAGATGAGATATAATCAATATGATACTTCCAAGAGAGGTTATTATCTATCAGAATTCCTAGATATTTCACAAAAAGTTTTTGTTCTAGAGATACACTTTTTTTTTAAGATCGTTATTATAAATTTTCAAGTGAACTATGTAGTCCAATTTGCGTTGGTAAGGATGGAAAATAACAAAGTTAGATTTACTAGTGTTAAGAGAAAGTTTGTTTGCGTCCAACCAGTCACCCACTTTTGCGAGTTCATCATTAACAACTTTTTCAAGATCCTTAAGATCTTTGTTTGAATAAAGCAAGTTAGTATCGTCAGCAAATAGGTAAAACTCAAAAATCTGGGAGCAACGGTAAATGTCGTTAACATAAATCAAAAAGAGAAGGGGGCCAAGTACAGACCCTTGAGGGACACCACAAACTATCTCTTCTATATTCGACACGGTTGAACCAATTTGAGTCGACTGGTTCCTGTTCAACAAGTACGAAGAGAACCAGTTATTAATTATTCCTCTGACTCCATAATGATATAATTTGTGCAGTAAGATTGAGTGATCCACCGTATCAAAAGCCTTTTTTAGGTCAATAAAAATACCACAAGAGAATAACTTTGCATCAATATTAGTTTGAATTTTGCTTAAGATATCTAAAATTGCATGTTGGGTTGAACACTTGTCTCTAAATCCATATTGAGAAGTAAAAAAGATACCGTTTTTTTTTCGCAATGTGATTTAAGACGTTTAGCCATCAATTTCTCAAATAATCGATTGAAGACAGAAAGGAGGGAAATTGGGCGGTAATTACATGGATCAGTTTCGTCTCCCGATTTGTAGATAGGAATTACTTTGGCATGCTTCAAAAGATGGGGATAAATACCCGTTGAGATAGACTTATTCATCATGGCAGCTAAGAGTGGAGAAAGGATATGGCGCCCAGATTTTAAAAAGATGAACCGGGCAAGAATATAGGCCATATACTTTATTACTGGGTATAGCCAAGATTTCCAAGTCCACCTCGGATGGAACGACGGGATCAAAAAAAAAGACTTAAAGTGATTAGTGCCGACAAGGTAGTCCTGGAAATTTATCCTGGAAGGTGATATATTGCGTGCAAGCCGCGGTCCAATAGACGCAAAGTACTGATTAAAGATATTGGTTATTTCAGACGGATTTTGTGTTACTCCAGAGTTGTTAGAGCGTTGAAGGGCTGATACTGTTTTTCTGTTACGCTGTCTGTTCAATAGTTCATTAATCCCCTCCCACGTTTTTTTTAACATTTCTTAGATTTGTAGTGAAGTAAGCTTCATAATACAATCTTTTACTGAGACGAGAAAGAGTAACAATTCTATTCCTATACAGCTTATATTTTGAGATATCTCCTGAATAAAAGAGTCTATTCTTTATTTTGATAGATTTACGTAGGCCCTTAGTTATCCACGGTTTGGAAAATTGTTTAGCCTTGCGCCTAGATAAGATTTTGAGAGGAGCGTGTTTATTAATGAGCTTGTTAAATTTATTGTAAAAGGAAGAAAAGCATTTGTCTACAGATCCATATGTCATTGAGTTATCCCAATCAGTATCCAAGACATCATTAATAAAGCATTCTTCAGAGAAGTTGGAATAATCGCGAATTTTATGTTTAGCAGTAAAATTTTTTTGGTATAAGACTGTGGATAAAACAAAATTGGGAGTAGTGATCACTAATGTCTGACACGATATTTCCACCTGAAATTTTATGATCAAATCTATTCAGAAATATATTATCAATGAGTGTGGCAGAATTATTGTAGACTCTAGTTGGTTTATCAATTACCGGGAAGAACGAATAACATTGTAAAGATAACAAAAATTTTGGGAGTAATCGGAAATTTCAGATTTGAGGAGATCAATATTGAAATCGCCCATAAGATAAACAACTTTATCAGAGGAGCTAAGTTTTTCTAAAGTAAAGTCAACATAATGGAGGAATTGTTCCGGATCATTATGCTGCCTATAAATCACTCCACAAACGATATTTTTACTCTTTAGGGATTCAATTTCGATCCATAAAGCCTGAAAAGCGTCTTTAGATGTTCTCTCCAGAACCTTATATTTCAAACAATTATTAATGTACATTCCAACACCTCCACATGATAGAGGTGTTGGGACATATTCAAACTGATAGTTTGGTATGCAGGCATTGAAATCTAGCCCAGATGAATTTGTAATTTTTGTTTCTGTAATACCGATTACACTGAATTGGTAGTCAAGTTCATCTAAAAGATGGACTTGAAAATTATCAATGTTTTTCCGCAAACTTCTTACGTTAGTATGAAGCATAGAGAAAGGACATTGACTATCTGATTCAACAAAGACTCTTTAAACATAGAAAAACTATAGGGTGAGAAATATTTACATCTAATTTGTTGCATGCTTAAGTTTCTGTCGGGATTTAATGTTGATTCGGTATTTAAGCGAAACAAATCTAAATCATAAATACTATGAAGTTTGTCTAAGTACTTCTTGGTCGGTAAGTCACTGTTGAGAATGTTATTAAACTGTCCATGAGCTCTAATAATTTCAACATTCGCGTATGGAAGTTCGCTTAGGGTAGATTTAATTGTACAACGAACACGTTTCTTGCTAACACTCATACTTATTATCTAAAACAGACAAACAACTCTACATCAACATGAATACTTAGCCTTCACGTCCATTCGTTAATCGGTGCAGGTCCGTGATATCCTTAATCTTGATGGCTCGAGACGTGGTATCTTTACGAAGATAAACAAGCGATCCCTTCGACCAGCAATACTGATAGTGAAACTGCTCCTTGAACCTCTTAGCTTCAAATAAAACCTTTTGCATCCTTGGCGTTAAATGGTCAAAAATTCTAACAGCGGAAAGGGAGGCATCGTCAGGTAAACCAACAGCAGATGGGGCAACTTTACTTGCATTTCTTTTATGATTCATGACATCATCTTTTGACAATCGTCTAATAAATCGGCAAATGATTGGCCGCGGGCCGCCATTGTCATTGCTTCTCGTTGGGACTCGATGGGCTGTGTCAATGTCATGAATTGATACAGCGGATCCAATTGCCTTAAATAAACATTCACATAGCGCACTCGTAGAAGCCGAGGATTCATCTTGACTCAATTGAGGGACACCAACAATCTTAACATTATATTGATAACTGTACTCTTGAAATTCATCGATGCTCCTGGAAACTCTGTTAACTTCAACAGCAATCTCATCAAGCATGGCACCTAAGCGATCAAGTTCTTTACCAGCAGAGACCCTGAATCGCTCAAAGTCATCATATTCTTTACTCATGAATTCTAAGCTTTGCTCTACTTCGTCATTAGTCGCTGCAGGTTTTTTTTTGACTGCTCCAGCAGCATCACCTTCATCTTAGCAATCTCATCCGCCATGACAGACAGTTGATCTTTAAGCTTACTGTTCTCTCTCTTAAGGCTAGCAACAGACTCGGGCATTCTTGAATCTCTCAGAAAGCAAAAAAAGAAAAACGATCGTGAAAAAAGAAACGAAAAATTATCCAAAACGAAACGAAAAATTATCCAAACTTGATTAAGATTAGCGGAGCTCGTAAAGTAACGTCCGTCCTGACCAACTCACCAAAATTGTGGAGACCAAAGAACTTCATTCTTTTTTTTTTTTTTTGGGAGGCATATACATATACATGCTCATAGCTATTAGCAATTACAGAAGTCTCCTACTCTCATAGGCAATGAAAAATTTTCCTATGTTTCAGAGATCATGTTTTATAGATTAATGTCTACAATGCACACTCATTTTCACAATTATTCTTCTTTTAGGCTTTGTTTTCTCATAAAATGTAAACATTTACTTTTTTCATGTATATGTTGTAAGGTGGGTCCTTTCTCTTGCATTTGTAGTTAAATGAGTTGCGATTCTCAAAACGAAGGAAGCCAGATCCAATCAACAAGGTGTCTCAGCCATTTGACCCATCAAAATTCAACTTCACCAAAGTACAACAGAAAGAGGTAATAAGTGGGAGGGCAGCCCTCATGCAAACTGACTAACCCTAACCCTAACCCTGGTGCTTTTCATGTACACTGTTCATGGCTATAGTACATGTAGTTCAGAAATGATTACTTCCGAGCTGCTGAAGAGACAAAATTGTGTGTCTAGAGTTTACATTTTAAATTCTGACCATTTTTAGGTATATTGACAGAAATAAACTAATCTTTTAGTTTCCGTGTTATAAATGAATATACTGATTGAGTTACTTACCTTAGTGTAAGTGAATGTGGTGGATAACTACCCTCACTTTGGTGAATAATTTCAAACTATCATGGAAAAATGCAATCCAATATATGCTTTATTAGACATGGCTGAACAGTGCTGTCTAAAGATTCATGTATAACATGCCTCTTCATGTATAAACAGTACTGCCAGTGATACTGATACAATACAATGAAGAGCAGTATTTGCTTCAAATATGAAGCATGCTTGCAGCCAATGAGAATTGAGATTTGATACCAATATCTTTTTAAAATATTCTTGAACCAACACATGCTTTGTGTATTATCATTTAAGGTGATGTTTGAACTTATTCCAAAGCATAGGAGTGCAGTGACAAGTGATCAACATGTTTTGATTATAAACAATAGTCCTATTGAATATGGCCACTCCCTTTTGGTGCCGAGCATAAATTCTTGTCTTCCTCAGGTATTTGCTTTAAATGATTTTTTAATGAATTTTTTTTTTTGTTCATCTCCCTCTGCCCTTGTGGGCAGATTATTGGAGAGATTTATTTCAAATTCATAATACACTCAATTGCAAAAAGCGTGACTGTAACCGCAGACGCAGTTACAGCCACGTTTACACAAATTACAAACAAAAATGATTACAAACGAAGCGAAACGGAAAAATACTCACATTGCAGGTAGCGGCTAACTGCAACAGCGAATAACTTTTAAGTTAAAGAAGACTTTTGGACAGAGAAATGCGCCAAGCGCGACGTGAGGTAAACTGACTTTAAAGAAGTGACTCTGCGTAAAAGAAAGTGGCTTTAAATACAAGAGGACTTCGAAGTTACGTGCGGTGCGAAAAACGCGCAAAATGGTGTAACTGACGAAGAAAAACGATAACAAGCTTAACAAAAATCACTAACAGGAGGTATGAAAAAATATAGGTCGGACGAATTAAATAAGTACAAAATTATACAAAACAATTAATAATCGCTTTAGATCTTATTTTGACGCCTTAAGAAAGCATGACTCATGAACGATTAGACCCGACGGCTTTATGGGAAATGTTTGCACTAAAACATAATCGAGTGGTAGCCCTTCGTGAGAACAAAAATCGCTCTTGATGCAGGGATTCGCCCTAACAAAGGGCTAACGCTTTAAGTGTCAGCTAAAGATTCTCTTTACTGTGGCCAATTTACATTATCAACTCAGTTAATAAAGCCAAATTATCTTGTAACACACCAACCGACGCAGCACAACAGTTTCTTTAAAGCTCAACCCCACTTGATGTAACTAACACAACACCTTATTATTGACCTCTAGATATTAACTGAAGAGGCACTATTACTTAGTATGGAGACAGTCATGTTGAGTAGTCACAGGTATTAATCCATGTTTATATTATTTTGTATTTACATGTATGATGCTGTAGTTAATTTAAAGTTAAAACAGTCTAGGTTATACTATCAAGCCTTAAAGGGTAATTTAGCATTATCAACTGAGTTGATAACGTAAATTGGCCACTGTAAAGAGTTTTAAAGCTGACGTTTCAAGCCTTAGCCCTTCTTCATTCGCTCTGACGAAGGGCTAACGCTCGAGACGTCAGCTTTGAAACTCTTTGCGTTGGCCAATTAACGTTGTCAGCTCAGTTGATAATACTAAATTACAGTTTCTTTTGAAACTTGTTTATCAATTAAGTCTCAGACAGAGACACTCTTGAAAAGGGTTAACCCTTTAACTCCCAGATCAAATTTGTAATTCTCCTTACTGTCAACCATACAATTCTTAGAATGTTAGTTCAGAGAATTTAGTATTGGATCAACTAATCAACCCAAAGTCGATATTTTTCTTTATTCTCATGGTTTTTGATGGTTTATTATCACACAATTACAGTTAACCCTTTAGCAACCAGATCAAATTTATAATTCTCCAAGTACTGTCAACCAAACAATTCTTATAATGTTAGTTCTGAGAATTTAGTAATGGATCAACTTATTATCCCCAAATTGATGTTTTTTTTATTCTCATCACTTATCTGGTTGTTATTGTATGGATATTGTAAGGAGAAATTCTGTCTCGGTCACTCATGGGAGTTTAAGGCTTAACTTGGCTTATTTATCCCGTCATGTAAAGTTGCAAGTGATTCTATTGCATGATACCAAAGCGTAGCATTTATTAACCTGTAATCTGGCGTTTCGTCTTTTTAAGGGGAGCAAAATAGTCTTGCAGGGCATGAGTCCGCGGCTTCCCTAAAAGAGGAATGCCTGGTGGCTCTTGCACTTCAATTTCCAGGATTGCAATGTTCATACCTTTGGATACAAGAAGACGATTTAGTTAACTTTGTGACAACATATTGTGACTCTGACATACATGTCGTTTGGACACTCGTTGTTCTTAAGACATCGCCTCTCTTGATGAAAGCATAATTTCTACTCCTTAAATATAGAATTGAACAACGGCACAAGTAAATGGGGTGAATTCCTTTCTATATCTATTTCTTTCAGAGGACTCCGGGTGGGTTTCAACAGCTTGTGCGCATATTCATCCGTGAATCATCTACATTTCCATATTTGGTACAGTGAACACCCTTCCTATCTTGAGACAGTGGTAAGTTTGTCTGTCAGACTTTGTATATTTATTTGTCTTGGTAACGCTCCAACGTTTTTACTCGACTTCAAAGTTTTCAAATGGACGACATTTACTTACATATGAGTATTATTCTCTTCCAAATTATTAGGATGTGATACCTGTCTGTAAAGATGTTTTTGAAGTTAGAGACTATGCAACAAATACGCTTGTCTTTGAGCTGGGACCACAATCTGATGTTAGTTTGTTAGCAAGGTAAGGGAAATTACCAACTAACAAATCAAACCAGCAAACAGGTGAACAAACAAACAAACAGGTGACCACTTAACGGGTAACACCGTAGACAGCGGTTCATGGTGTTTAATATTAATCTCAACGATACCGACGAAGGTGAACTCACATATGTTTGGTTTTGGCTAAAATACGTGTTCACGATATCGAAAGTCGCACAGACTGAACAATTTGGTACATAACTCGATGGAGGGCACGGCATCTGAGTTTAAAAGCAGGATGTCTTTTAACTCTTTGATCTCTAAGAGTGACTAGCATTTAATTTCTCCTTACAATATCACCATTGGATCAAACATTTAGGTCATAAGAATAGAGGAAATGACCAGTAAAGGATTTAAACAACAGCCATGATAGATCTCGACAACTTTCCGAAAATGTATTCGTTATATGCCTCGTTTGGGTAACTTGGTAAGAAAAAGACATGCATAGTTTCAGCTTGAATGGATATTCTCGTTTAGTGAGAAATTACCGTCTATTAGTTGAAAGGCATCCTGCTTTTAAACTCAGAGGCCGTGCCCTCTATCGAGTCACGTACCATTTTAACGCAGAAAATATTCTCGGAAAACTGTTTAAGTAACGGGTATTGGAAGAAGGTCCAAGTGGAGTGATTTTTCTCTGAAAGGTCTTTCCCTATGAGGTGGTCTTTTTTTTATGCCATTCTTTTTGTCTGTCCAGGAAAATACATCAAGTATCGTCATATTTCGTGGAAAACGAAGTAGCGCACACCTTCCTTATTCTACGGGGGAGTAAATGCAGCCAAAGGACTCAAAATGGCGAGTTTGTTAATGGAGGAAACAGCCATCCTGTAATCAGAGTCTTCCTTTGGCCTCGAAACCCAGTCAGCGGTGAGTAATTTGCATGAATGTGCAGTGAAGATCGGACCCACTGATTCACGCTTGCCTGAGCTAATTTTGGTGGTTTCTGGAGCATAATGAACTAGGAGAACTGCTTCACTTCTAGCAAAGGTATCCAATTCATGGCGTTCAACCCCATCGCTTTTGTGTTAGGTCTGCTAAAAGATGTTGCCCATTTACACCCATGCGTTGAGAGAAGGCCTTTAAAGAGTCAAGGTCTACTGCTTTGTAGTTCGGCCCCTTTCAGTAACGTTTCCCCGCAGTACGAACCATTAAAATCAGCTGTTGTGAATACGTGGGACCAAGGTAACTCTAGTGTTGTAGTCGATAAAAACGTGTACCAATGCTTAGACACCCTCTGAATTTTCTGGAATGTGTTCTCTTTGCTTGTTTGTTCTTTCTTTTTGTTCTCTGTTTTCTCCCGAAAAATTCTCCCAGTGCTGACTTCCAGGCTACCACGTCCCACACGCCTCGAGATAAGTCCGTACAATTCTTGAGGCAGTGTGAGCCATTGCTCCTTGCAACTACTAAATACCCCTCTCTAAATACAAGTTTTGCCTCGTTTTTGATCTCTTTCTTTCTCTAGGTCTGTTTACTGTATGCGAATTGTTTTGTGTTTGTTCCATGCATTTGCCTGTTTGGTGTGTGTGTTAATAGGTAGCCAGGTGAAGAGTTCTTATGATGCGGACGAACGACCCACCGCTGCTTTTGAATTTTCTGGATTCGTTTCAGTAGAAAGTAAGTTCAGATATTTTCCTTCTGTACTTTTTGAAACATAACAGGAAATTCGATATCACACCAGACTGCTTGAATTATTTACTCGTACAAAACGATGCAAAAGCTTGAAAACGAGGATTGAGGGAACAAGAAAGACTCCCTCTAGAGCACAAAGTTTAGGCTTCCTGGTAAATTGTGATGGAAAACTCGTGTAAAAGGGCAATTCCTGTCTTTCTTAAAAGTTTTTTGTAAGAGGTCCTGTTTCACAGCTGAGAAACATTCCTGTTAGGAACTCACAGAAAAGAGGAATGGAAAGGAAAAGGGCCAAACGAATTAAGTTAAACCACTAAATAATTTCCGAGGTAAGTTTTCAGTTTTAGCTAGCTACATTCTGTTTACGAACGGTCCTAGCATTGAACTCAGTAACAGCATTCAATTTTTTACCGAAAGCCTCAAAAGTATTTTATAAACTCACCTGAAAAAGGAGTTATGTAGCTATTATAAAGGCAGCCATTTGTTTTTCTTTTTAGCGAGAGAAACCTATGATTTATTCACTGAAGAACACTTCTGTAAATACATGAAAGGCGCGACGTTACCAGAAGAGGAGTTTACAAGGCACAGAGAGACAATACGAGAATTATTGAATAAGTAGACGCGTCTTTTGATTGGCCTAGTCAGTTACAAGACTGCGATTCTGATTGCTTAATTCTTGCATTTTACATTTTACATTTTAGCTATTCGCTGATACACCGAAAAAGCTCTATCATTAACCCCCCCCCCAAAAAAAAAAACAAACGAACAAACAAACAAAAAACAAACAAAACAAACAAAAATTCGAAGTTTGGACCGTTCAGTGTGGCTATTTGTTGCTCCGTATTTTTGCCCTGCACTACAGAACACTGTGGCATATTTTGTGCGTTCTCATTACCTTATTTGGTAAAATGACGTGGTGAAATAGTAAATTTGGTGATAAGTAGGGTGCCAAGAGTAGCTCCTACACATTTCTTGGACTTCCGCTTTAAATCGCAAAACTATAAAACTCGTCAAAAAGTTCGAAACTCCGAACATTACGTCCTTGGTAAAATTAACAAAGCTACACGAGCCCGGCTATATGATTAAATGGAAGTCATCTTTGTGAAACGAATGTGGTAAGAACTGGTTTTTTCAAGAAAGACGATTTTTTTTTTGGAGAGAAGGGGCCTTGTCTTTGCTCTTGGGGTCCCCATTACGCACTAAAGCGTAATGTTGTTGTTACGATATCCTTTGGTCCTTCAAGCCCCGGCTGTAAGCTATGAAGGAGACTGCACCTACTTCCTCCGCCACTTTGCTCCCCGTCTACCCCAGGGGTATGTATGATTTTGCGTCGAGTATAAATTTTCGTCATTATGGTCTCAATCTAGGGGGAGCCACAAAAAAAAAACGGATTTTTCTTTTCAAATCAAAACGAGTCTATGTTAAAAGGGACGAAACCAAAATGTATCATTTGTCAGAATATGGAGAACACCGAGAAGTATCCTCACCCCGCTTTTCCCCTCCTCCCCCCCCCTTCCGGCCCCGTGTGACTATTATCATTCGCTATTATATCAAAAGGCCAAGTAACGCACGCATTTTGGTTGGTTTCCACTCATGAACTGTTGAAGGACAGACTTTTAGATGACGTCACCATCCACAAAATTTTGCTTTGCTGTCATCTAAACCGAAAGGTTCCACTTTATCGAGTGTCTGTTCAGAAACAGATCACAGCAGACGTCAAAATGTGGTTAGAACATCAGTCACGCACTCAGCTGTGCTGCGTGTGCCACTTTTTTTTTTTAATTTGCCATTCTTTGACCTCATCTGTGTTCTGTTACTGAACAGAAGCACGGCAACATGGAATCTATTTGTTTACCCTTCAGCCCTTAAGAGTGACTAGCGTCTAATTTCTCCTTACTATGTCACCCTGAATCAAACATGAAAGTCATGAGAATAGAGGAGATAATCACAAACTAAAGCAGCTCTCGATTGTTTAACAAATTCTCCTTGTCAGCCTCTTTGGAGATGTACGGAGAACAGTATGGAGAATGTGCATACTGATCCTAAGGTGTAAAAGGTTAAGTAAAGAAGGAAACTATGAAAAGTTAGAATTACATGTATTTACATACCGCCATCTTATTATCGTCTGACATGGAACATCAGTCTAAACTCTGTAACTCTTGAAATCTTCTGGAACATCGGTAGAGCAAAGGCCGTTTCCAGACATCATCTTCTAAAGAGCTTCTTGGTATGTATGGGTGATCTTACCCATGTGAACGTGTGCCTTAGTGGTACGGATTTTCGCTACTCCATTCTACATTCTCCAAGCCTTCACGACACTTTGTTCTTAATTTAGATTTCGATAGATTTGAAACGTTGCAGCTTTAATGTTCAAACGAAAACGTTCTCAACACCGATCAGAGGTTACATTGTTGCCAGTTCTTAATCAGTCATCAGATATAATACCCCTGGTCAGTGTCATTACAGGAACATAATTATGTACTAATCTTTACTCATTCAGTAGGAAAGTAATTGTAACAAATTAAGCAGATTCCACAGTGATCAACCCAACCCATGCATGTGCACTGATAAATTTTGCATTTCAAAAGGGATTGTCATCAACAGCTATTTGCCCCTTTGATCTTATAAGCTTGCTGCAGATATCAGCATAAGGAAAATTGCACGTCAAACGTGCCCAAGAGTTGTGCGAGACGAAAGCACGTGCCACATCCGCATGGATATGAAGGCACTGAAAAACAATCTTACTAGACAGGCAGCATCGATAAAATGGAAAACTCCGCTGCTGGGTTATTTCATGTCTCTTTTCCTCTGTCCCATGATTGAGACTAGACGGACAACATGTTATTTACTGGACGATCGAATTAAAATTGACCTTCTTTTTTCACTCACTTCACTTACTAAAGCTTTCGACTTGGCTGATTCAAGTGGCACGCAGAAAACTTTCCATATATGAACTTAGCGTGCACTGGAGTGCAAAATCTGAATATCAGGCCCCGTCTACTGTATTGGAAGGAAAGTTCTGAACAAATTCAATTCAATGGGATGGTAATAAACCAAATCCATTTGCGTGCCTTTATAAGTTTTACATTCAAATGGATTGTCATCGAAAGCTGTTGCCTCTTTGCAATTGATAACCCTTTGATCTTGAAGCCTCGGGCAGAAACTGAGAAGAATTGAAGAGATCATGGTTTATCATCAAACGAGCCTTGAGTGAGAAGTAAAGCAAACCCACTTGCCGTTATCGCACGTGCGTTCTTTATCAATACGGCTTGACTCTAATACGATATCAGGTATGGATTTAGCATGCTTTGTTTTACAGCAGAAGTCAAAAATAGCATACTTTGGCATGAAATAAGGTCAGGATGTGGAGAACCTAACGGCGCATCCTTGCACGCATTCCCAAAGAGTGACCCCTTTCTCGGTCCCAAAGGGACTCGATTTCACCAGCGTTCCATGTGTAAAACAGGAAAGCTGAAAAAGTGACAAATTCTTTTTCGTTACCGATATATATCTATCGTCTGACTTGGAGCGAAAGGAATTAAGTTGTCAGGGTACTTAATTCTTTAACTTGATAAATCAGTCTAACCTCTTCAACTCTTGGAATATTCTGGAACATCTGAGGTGCAAGAAACGTTTCCGGACATATGCTTAGAAAAGGCCTCTTGGAAAGTATGCATGTTTAAATGTCTTGAACAAATTAGTTGAAAATGTACTTTAGTGACATGGATTCCTAGTATTCCATTCTCAATTCCCACAAAACTTCAAAGCATTATGTTCTCAACTTGGTTTGGAAAAGTTACAGTTTTCATGTTCGACAAAAGACGTTTTCATCACCGATCAGAGGTATCAGTGTGACTAATTCTTGCGGTGTTAAGTATGATACCCTTTGTCAGCGCTAGTAAAGGAACATGTACTGATCTTTTGCGTCGTGCTAACTTGTTCTTGTATTTCCAACGCGAGTCGATGCACACCCCATCTGTGATAAATTAAGTTAGTGCCGCAATGATCTACTAAACCCGTGCACGTGCACTGATAAGTTTCGCATGTTAAAAAATTGTCATCAACAGCTGTTTGCCCCTTTGATCTCTACGAGGCATCCTCCAGATATTAGATTGAGGAGAAAGGCACGATAAACGTGCCTAAGGTTTACGCAAGACGAACGCACGTGGAAGTATACCTCACGGTTGGAAACGTAACTAAGGCTAAGGAAGCAAAATTTCTTGCTACATTGCCACCGACAATGAGGTGCAAACTTCCGATGCCACGATCGAGGCCAAACAGATTATTTGTTTCTTTATTCGACTCCGAACCCAAAATTGACCATCCAAGCAGTATACAGAAGGCTTGAAACATTATGAGCGCGGAATCCGAATCTCTGAGGTTCAATTCCTCAAAGGTACTCAGAACGTTTTCCTTGGCTCATCCTCGAGACAAGACAAAAAGACAACTTTCCTCATGACGATTTTCATCAGTGAATGATCGAACTTCGATCAACCATTGCCCTTTATCTATTCACATATACAATGCTTCCGACAGCGCCGATCCTAGCAGTTTGCAGGAAGCTTGTCACTTTCGAATCTAGCATACTCCGGGCACACTATCGAGTTCTCCTTATAATGGTTGGAAGGAATCATTGCGCTATATTTGAAGATCAGGCCCTCCTCTATTGCCTTTGAGAAAGTCTCATATCCAACTAGGGATGGCGATGAACCAAACCCACCCACGTGCAGTGAGAAGTTTTTATTTAAAATAATTCTCATAAAAACATCTTTGCCCTTTTAATCCTAAAGTCTCGGGCAGATAATAAGGAGAAGTGAAAAAAAAGAAAAAAAAAAAAAAAAAGGCACGTTCAACGTGCCAAGGATAAGACACAAGGTAAACGCACGTGTCGGTACTGCATGTACGTTCTTTATCGGTCACCCTCGACTTTGATGCCAGCAGGTCTGTAAAGGGTATGGATTTATGATGCTTCGTCTTAAAATGGGAGTGGAAAGTGATATACTTTGGTCTGAAATAGGATCAGGATTTGGAGATCCCTTTCAGCAATTCCTGAAGAGTGCTTACCCCCTTTCCTTGCCTTTGAGGACTCGCGCTCACCAATGTTCATATACCATGTGAGAACCAAAAGCATAAAAGGTTACCTCTACATATTTATCGCTACCGATATGATGTCTTTATCTTCATACTTGGAACGAAAGGTATTTTGTTGTTACGTTACGTAATTCTTTAACTTGACTGATAAATCAGTCTAATCTCTGCAACTCTTGAAATCTTCTGAGACATCCATTGAGTAAAGACCGTTTCCAGACATTTTCGAGGAAAGGGCGCCAGTTTTGGAACGTATGTATATATTTACATGTAGGAGTGAATCGAGGATATAGTTGATTTTAGGTGTGGACACTCGCGGCATCTCGGTGACATAGATTCTCCCTTTTCCCCATTTTCTGTCCTCCAAAATTTCAGAGCGCTGTGTTCTTAACTTATTTTAGAACGATTCGTGTTTAGATGTTCGAAAGCCAATGTTCTCAACGCCGACCAAAAATGTTAGTTTTACTGCTTCTTACTTCGTCAGAGTTACAGCAGAGGCACAGAAAATGCACTCAGTTCTCTTTTGTGTGC